GACATTACACACACTTCAGTACAAACACACCTACACGATGGGCTCGACACGAATCAGCCTACACCTCACGGAAATATTAATTACATCCAAATGATGTTTGGATGTAATTAATGATGTTTTTTTTGACCATACAATAAAAATCATATTTGGAAGTCCTGGTCATCAAAAACTTTAAAAAAACAACAACCCAGGTTTAACATACAATTTATACAAAAGTCCATTCGGCCTATGTCTCATGAATAAATCCCACTGACTCCACCACTGAACTGTTTTGTGGGTTTGTAAGGGTAAATTTACCTCAAAAGAGATAAGATTAAGTTCTTGTATAATAATTTGAAAGAATAATAAGAAAGAACATTTTTTCCAGTCATCTCAAAAAGTGATTTCAAAATCCACCTGAATTCACCCCTATGGCTCGCAAGTTCATCCCAAAGGTGTTGGATGGGGTTGAGGTCAAGGCTCTGTTAGGGCCAGTCAAGTTCTTCCACACCAAACTCATCCAAACATGTCTTTATGGATTTTTCTTTGTGCACTGAGGCACAGTCATGCTGGAATAGGGCCTTCTCCAAACTGTTCCCACAAAGTTGGAAGCAGCGCATTGCCCAAAATGTCTTGGTATGCTGAAGCATTAAGTTTTCCCTTTACTGGAACCCAACCCTGAAAAAGAGACCCTCCACCAAACTTTACAGCACAATGCAGTCAGACAGGTAACATTCTCCTGGCATCTGTCAAACCGAGACTCACTTTCAATCCACAGAACACGTTTCCACTGCTTCAGAGTCCAGGGGCCTTGTGCTGTACACTTGGCATTATACTCAGTGATGTGGGGCTTGCATGAAGCTGCTCAGTCATAGAAACCCACTCCATGAAGCTCCCGCCGCACAGTTTTTCTGCTGATGTAAACGCCAGTGGAAGTTTGGAACTCTTCAGCAATTGAATCCTCAGAGCGTTATCGACTTTTACGCAATTTATGCGCTTCATCACTCGTGTCCCCGCTTCCGTGACTGTTTCTGCTGTTACTAAACGCTTCCACTTTCCAATAATACCACTTACAGTTGACCCTGGGATATCTAGCAGGGAAGAAATTTCACGATTTGACTTATTGCAAAGGTGGCGTATGGAGAGTTATGTTTTTGATAATGGCAGTCTGGGCTTTGAGGCTGTTTATGCTATAGTTTGGAGCTGGATTTCCATCTGAGACTTGTGTATGTGTGTGTCGAACACTGAGCTTGAGTGGTCTGGGTTATCTCTTTGCAGGGGGCTGAGAGGGGACCACTGTAGGTGGACATTTTTGTTTGTGTGTCTGATAAATTTGCCTTTGTTCTGGTTGTTTATTTAAGGGTGTGGGTGCTGTGAATGCTTCAAGCTTGTTAGGGCTCTAAGGGCATGCTGTGTGTGTGTGTGTGTGTGTGTGTGTGTGTGTGTGTGTGTGTGTGTGTGTGTGTGTGTGTGTGTGTGTGTGTGTGTGTGTGTGTGTGTGTGTGTGTGTGTGTGTGTGTGTGTGTGTGTGTGTGTGTGTGTGTGTGTGTGTGTGTGTGTGAATAGAAAAAAAAGAGTATAGCGCTGGTTGTTATTTTTGAGTGTGCTGTTGTGGAGAGCAATTGTGGAAAGCTATAACTCATTTGAGTGAGCAAGAGTGTGTGTGCTTTTACAACACAAATCATCTCTGGAATTATAAAATGCAAATTTGGTTTTATCTCAGTGCTGTCTTTGTCTCTGAAGGGGCCATTAAGGATGTAAAACATGTCTGTTTACATTGTGTAATGACTGTTAGCTTATTATACGAAACATGTATTAGACGCTTAGCATTAGCTAACACATACCTGTTATACTGCTGTCAAAGTAGACATCTAAGGGTAAGACTGCAAGTTCATACTGACTTAGTAGTTTTTTATTCTGACAAGGAAAAACATGAGCAACAATTTTCGCTCTTCGCATCACCAAACAACACTATTGCATCTACATTGAGGAGGGTGACCCACACCATACAAAAATAAAACACTTTTTATAAAAACTATTATGGGTAATCATCTCATGTGTACTCCATTCAGACGACTCTTCACAACAACACAAAATTAGGACCAAACTACTGAATGAACCTTTAAAATAGTGGGCAGTATTTGAATGTTAAATATTCAAATATGTTTAAAAATAGTGGCACCAAGCAACAGCCATCGAGGTGAATGGATATGCAAATAGATATGGGAATGCTAATTCTCGCAATCTAGTGACACAATGGAAGAGCTTTTGTCCTTTGAGCTGCGACAATGTAAGTCTGTTGTGTGCTGTTAAAACAGGAATATAATTATGAAGCTCAAGCTCTGTTGTGGGTGTGTGTTCTTTAGTGCAAGATTCTTCTTCATCTCATGTCCATTCAAGCACTGAATCATCTTCTCTCAACCCTTAACACCACTTTTATCAAGCTCCCCGACTCCTCCTGCCAATCGTTCCTACACCTCTCATGTCTTCTCCTCCGTCCTTCACTCCTCTCCTCTGGTGGACACTTATGAGACAGGCGTGACTGCACATCCACACTGCCTTTTAGAGTTTCGTTACCCAGAATGCTGCAGCTGTGTCATTTGCATGGCAGGGTTTGGACCTCTCACTGGAGAACGAAAGTGTGGCTTTGAATTATTCATTTAGGAAACACAGAGAGGAAGAAGAAAATTGTCCTCCTCTTTTTTTTTCTGTCTCCCTGTCTGTCTATTTCTGTTCTCATGAATTTGTCAACCCCCTTTAAATCACGTTGTGATGCTTTGGCCGCTTGTTCAATGGTGTTTGAAGTACTCTATTTGTTTAAGCACTTATTGTCAGGGGATGAAGGGTACGTAGAGTGACTGTAGACAGGCTTGGTCTCAGTGCTACTGACATTCTTCTGTTTTCTGTTGTTTTCAGTGTCACCATCTGTTCCCCCACTGGACTTTAGAGATGTATCCGGAAAAAAGAGCTCAAACCATGAGATCCAATAGCAATTATTTCCGCCTAGTCCAAATGAAGAGCACATCGCAAACAACAATGATTTACAATTTCACATCTGTACTGTATTAGTGGTGCTTGCTACAGCATTTATATTGCTTATACTTTGAACAAACACCCAATCCTTGTAAAAAAAAAACAGCCGATTTTTTGTTTTGTATAATTACTACATTTGTAGTGATGAAGTTGCAATTTAGCACATTTAAAATGTGCTTTGTATTGTTACAATGTTGGTAGTATATGTATATGAACAATGTTTACCCTTTCTCTGTTACCTGGACTGAGAAATTCACGTTTATTTGTCAGCAAATATGGTAAAAATTATGGTAAAATGGAACACTATGGCAGCAGCTTTCTTACCTGTATCATGACTGTATGACTAGGTTTTTTTGACTAAACATTTGCGGCGTTCTCTCCGTATTTCAAATTCTTTGCAGGTTTTATCCACTGCCTATAAACACTGGATCCTTCACTAGAAACTGAAAGTAACTCACTCCTGCTAAACGTTTACTCTTTGAACTCTTGCACCCGGTCAACACCATTATGGCCAAAAGTTTGCTAAGAGGTATTTCCTACTAAAGCAAGGCGGTATTAGATTCAATTATAGAAAATTATATTAAATGCAATTAGCTGAACTTTAGAGTGCTTTTTCGACCCAATTAAGTAGTACATCTTTGTCATTTCATAATTCTATTGTCTTTATAGTTAAAGGACCTTACAAGCATTAATGGTAAACTAAAATACACTTTAATGTCATTTCTATTGAAACTTGTATGTCATGTATTTAAATATATTTGTTTTGTATATTTACTTAATTTGTAATGATGAAGTTACAATTTAGCACATTTAAAATACACACCAAAATAAGTGTACTAAAAATATATGCTTTTAAGACTTAAAGGAGAACTCCGGCGCAAAATGAACCTTTAGTCTAATAAAACATTGGTACCTATAACCGTTCTCTGAGATTTGTTTTCATGATAATCAAATGCAAAGAGTTTTATCTCTAAAAACTGTTTAGCGTATAACGCTAGTAATGGGGGCATATAATAAGTAAAAAGAAATCGCTAGTTAATACCACTAACAAGGCTCAAAATAGCCCCACACTAACACTGTAACAAATGTCCCTACATGCAAAACGAAGCATTGAGAACTTTGTAAGTGTACAGACCGTTTAATAAGAAGATAAAGATAAAGACAGTCCACTTCGTGTTTACAGACAGGAGCCATCTTTGGAAAACAGTCTCGACTAATCAAACCACGAACGACGTGCTAAGTAAGCTGAACTGTATGAAGTTCAGTGAACTTCTGAACTGTATGAATGGCGTTCGTGGTTTGATTAGTCGAGACTGTTTTCCAAAGATGGCTCCTGTCTGTATACACGAAGTGGACTGTCTTTATCTTTATCTTCTTATTAAATGGTCTGTACACTTACAAAGTTCTCAATGCTTCGTTTTGCATGTAGGGACCCTCATTATGTTACTGTGTTCGTGTGGGGCTATTTTGAGCCTTGTTAGTGGTATTAACTAGCGATTTCTTTTTACTTATTATATGCCCCCATTACTAGCATTATACGCTAAACAGTTTTTAGAGATAAAACTCTTTACATTCGATTATCATGAAAACGAATCTAAGAGAACGGTTGACTAGGTACCAATGTTTTATTAGACCAAAGGTTCATTTTGCGGCGGAGTTCTCCTTTAAAGTACAGTACAAGTACACATTCAGAACAATTAAACACTCACAAGGGAAGTAGTAAACTTTGGCATATAATATAACCCCATTAATTGCTAATAACTCAAATCCAATGACTTCTTATTGTGGAGAGAAGTAGTTACTTTTTTAAGTGATCTGACTTTTTATGTAACTGTTGATTAAAAATTCACAATTTCAGCAATTAAAAGCTCTGCACTGAATTATGTATGATTTATACTTTATTTGTGCTGCATTTTGTTGCATTTTCACTCAAAAAATTGTGGACAGCAATATAAAATGCACTGACATGTTTATTTTCCTTTGTCTAGAAATCGTTTTCCCTGGTGATCGAGGCTCTGGATCATGACAATGAAACATCAGAGGCAGGTATGATGATACGTTTGTGTGTGAGACTTAAAACATAAAATCCATGGATCAAATGTGTCCTCACAGAAGCGATTTGTAGCAATATAATAGCACAGAGAACGAAAGAATGAAAAGGAGGACATCAGACAGCCAATCCGTATTTACCCCTCATGCTGTCTTCTGGGGATTACAAGAGAGTAATACACAGGGTCAGGCTCCATGACTCTTTCATTTCCTGTGTTGTTTTCTGATTGTTTCTCCTTATAATTGAAGAAAACCTCCATGACTGAAAATATGTTGCTGGATTTTGCACACACACACACACACACACACACTCAGATGCACCAATTATGTCCTTTAATGAATAAATTAGACACATGTGCACGCTTCAGACAATGCTGAGATACATTTTAATCATTTGGATATTGCAGCTTTATTTGCATAAACTTCATTTGTTAGAAAAACATGCATGCTCCTTTTTCTCCTTCTCGTGTCTTTTTTCTGGCACTCTTATTCTCTTTTATTATCATTTTCTTTTCTTTCCCTCTGATTCTCTTTTAAATCTCTCTCTATTTCGCTACTCTCTCCTAATTTATCTTCCTCATGCCCTCCAGCTCCTGACATATCTTTTCATTTACTCTACCCATCCCTTCTCTCGTTCATTGGATTTACAGCTTGTCTCTGGTGAGGTGAGGCTTAGGTGGGCTGATCCAGGAGTCTAAATGATGCGAGTTTGGAATTGTTGAGCCGTTTTTTCCTGTCAGCTCTGGATTATTATACAACCATATTATATATATGGTATCTGAGTGCCGTATAGCTTTAACAGTCTTCAGCAAAGTCCGTCCTGACCCATTATATCTTTGAAAAAGACTTTGTGTGAGAAAAGGAGAGAGGGAAAGGCAAGGACAAAAGTGTTGCTCAGTTTCCCTTTTATTTTATCGTCTTCTATCCAGGGTGGTGCGCCATTCAGAATTGAATGAAGAATTAATTTAAATTGCAGATTAATTCCTGAATTTAAACAGTATACAATACATGATGAAAATTTGCAATTTGTATTTTTATTAAAGGAAGTATATTTTACATTTTAAATATGTTTTATTAGTTGAGATGCAAAATACAAAATATCTGGAAATACTTAGAATTAATTAATCTGAATATGTAATTGTTGCGACTATGTCAAGTTTCTTTGAATTGCAATTCTGTAAATTCCTACTGGTCACTCCAATGCAAATTGCAATTCAACATCCTGTGGACCAATGCAATTCAAATTCACACTCATGAATAGGGTTGGGTATCGTTTAAATTTCAGCCATTTCGATTCTGCTTTTTGATTCCTATTCTAACCGATTCTCAGTTTCGATTCCAGTAAGGTCAAATAAGTCAAATATTTAGATATCAAACATTTATTTAGTGTCTTTTTGCGAAACATTCTGTTGCAGATGAATAACGTGAACTAAAATCAGCAGCCTACAAAATACTTACGCAAGGAACCTTTGCCTATGGGTTTAACAAAAATACCACAGCAAAACAAACACTAACTAATATAAATATCAGTAACAGTCAGTAATAAAACAAAGTAACAATTGCACAAATAAATACAACTGAACAAAGTTCAGGTACAGAAATTGAAATCAAATATATTCAAATGTAACAACACTGCATAGTATTCTTTTTTTATAAATAATGTAGATTAATCCTTATTAACTGATTTTTTATTTTTATGATTTTTTTTTTGCTGTATGAATATCTGAACATACAATATACGTATATATACGTATATAAAAAGAAAAAAGCTTCATGCATTCTTTTTTTTTATCAACACAAATTAGCAACATTTTGAACAAAAAGCTGAGAAAATCACTTTTGTGTCAAAGACTACATCCGGATCAGAAAACAAAGATCGTTAAGATTGCATCCATCAGCACACTTAAAGCTTCACAGTCCTGTACTTCTTCCTGGGTCGACATTTCATTTGGTAACGATTGGCAGTTTTGATTTGTATCCTGTTTAATGTTTGATGATTGCGTTATTTTACGTGTGTCAGCAATGCTTTTATCGCTTGTTTCTGCTTCTTCTTCACCTGTGTTTTTTCCGGAGATTCAGTACTCTTTCAAAATATGCGTAACAGCGCCCCCTACTGTATAACAGTGAAAACACGGATTGCCGGGAAATTCCATCAATGGCGGGGAAGCGTTGTTATTAATGACAGAAAATGGCAGGGAAAGAGTTAAAGTTACAAAGTTATTTAGTCAAAATAAGTGATTGATTTTCTTTTTCTTCTGTTGTTTGATTATCGTTATTGACAGACAGACAGCAGGAGGAAGATTAGGCTGTTGTCACTTTAAGACCGAATGCATGGATCCAACAGACTGTTACACATGCATTTTCTTTCTCAACTGATTACGTTCACTTATGACAAAAACGACTGTGTTTATAGGGATATTAAGTAGGGCTGTCAGTTAAACGCGTTATTAACGGCATTAACGCAAACCCATTTTAACGGCGTTCATTTTTTTATCGCGTGATTAACAGTCTTTTTGGCCTAGCAAACTTTGTGGTTTTTTTCACATGCTTTTGCAACAGGACGCGGCATGCTGCACTATGAAACCCATTCATTTCAATGGCTTGCGCCGCGCGAGGACGTTTTGTTGCATCGCCGACCAAAGCGCAAGCGGATCTAGCTAGACCGGAAACAAAACAACAGGCACGCCGCACACACTCGTTTGGGCTTGCAAGCCGGCCAAATAGTAGGTTAACGTTACGTTTTGAGTGGATGACGAGCGCGAGACGCCGAAATGGATGCCAATAAGATTCTGAATGGACAGTTTACTTTTAAAAAGTTGCCAAATGGTTCCATTGACAAGACCAAAGTGATCTGTGTGTTTTGTCGTTGTGAACTGAGCTATCATCATCGCGATCGCAACACGTCCAGTCTGAAGATGATGGCCAAGCACACACACACACACGCACACACACACACAGCTGATGCGAATTCTCCGCCCCCTCGTCAATATCAGGACCTCTTCAGTATTTCTTTCTTACATTGTGTGAGAGATTATTTGCTCCAAGTGAGAATGTTAGTGTAAAATTGAACACAGTATATGCCAACGTTGTAATTGAGGTTTAAGTTTACACTAATTCGGGTTGTTTCGAACCCCTGCAGACAGTCGATCAGAACTGTGTAATGACATCAAATGTAATGAATTCACTCTGCAGACTCCAAGTCTCGTTGAAAGAGTTTACTGATGATAATTTCAAATGTAACATGTGTGGTTCTGGAACAAAATACAAATATAACTTAAATGAGTGACTTACATAAATTTACTTTAACATTTGTAAGTAATATGATCATAAGGCAACGATCTTTATATGTATGAATAGCATTATCTTTGAGCCCTTAATACAATTATTAGGAAAACAAATAGAACAGTCATTCTGTGTAAGCCCGCAAGATGGCGCCCTTAGCGCATTTATGGTGACTGAACACATTTAAATCAATGATAACATGTCCTCCTAAATCACGAAATAATCGAACACATTGTCATATTTTACTGTAAATTGCGTGAATTACTTGCAGTAGCTATTATGGATATTGAGAAAGGAATAACAGGATGACAGTATTACTTAGATAATGCAGATAACACAGATTCCTATGGCGCAATGGCGCTAGATACATCTGAATCGCGGCATGAACGATCGGCATATTCTGAGGAAAAACAGACAAAATACACTTACTTTCTATTCACGCACACTATATTACATCAGTAATGTTGAGATGCTGCCAACAAACGTTCGATAAAGTGGAGTCATCTTGGAACAGCTCGCGTTCATTGCATCTGCTCGGTGAGCCTGCTTTTCCTCTTTTTGCACGTGATCAGTGATGACGTTGAAGGGTGCGATTGGTCAAGTAACAGAGGAGCCTTTTGAACAAACGTTGTTTTCAATAAAAAACATTTGCACAAAGCAAGCCGATCCACTTTTCCATGTTGATAAGAGCATTAAAATGAGAAAAAATAATGGGACAAAAAGAAATCAAGAAACATTAAGAATAGATAAAAATGTGCGATTGATTGCGATTAATCACGATTAAACTATGACATTAATGCGATTAATCGCGATTAAATATTTTGATCGTTTGACAGCACTAATATTAAGACATACATACATGTATTTGTCCATTTAAGCGCAAGAAGACGTGAAAAAGAACACTGTATGAGAGGTGGCTTTTTGTGTGCGCACTTTGAATGAATTGAGTTCTCTTTCACGTCTTCTTGCGCTTGAAGTCACATTAAAATACATTAACATTGCGGACAGCCAGACGACAACCTCCAATTTCGTCCGTCATTTGAAGAGCCATTCTGCCCAGTAAGTGCTTGTCAATTTGTTAATGTTAGTTGGTAGTTAGCTAATGTAATAGCTAAAGTAGCCATTAACCCTTTCACAAGTAAGTTTAAACTATTCTAACTGATCCCCCAGCGTGAGTTTTTCTAGGCGACCGTTATTTAGAACCTGTCACTCACTTTAATGTTTCCATGGTGACGCGTCATTGCTTGTCACGTGACACAGCGCAACCACAACACAGCGCTGAATGAATGATCTGCTTTTATGTAATTTTTCCTGTTTTATTCAAAATGTTCACAAGTGTATTAGCTATAACATGCAACACTCTGATATTCCGATTGTCAAATACCGTAATTCCTCAAATAAAGGCCGGGGCCTTTATTTACCTGAACTGCAGATGATAGCCGGCTTTTATTTGAAGCAGGCTTTTATTAGAGGCAGGCCTTTATTTCTAATTCGCGATCCCCGCCCGCCCGCCAGCCAAGTTTCCATGGTGACGCGTCATGCTTGGCACGTGTTCACCACAGCCAAAATAGCGCTGTATGACAGATGTAGCGCTTTTATTTCTAAATATTAACAAACTTGCTTACCATGTCATCAACTATCTTCTATTCTGACTCTCAAATCCGTGTAAGTGAGTTTGTTTTGTCGTTTAAAACCCTTTATAAATTATCTTGATCTGTAACGTGAGATGGGCACCGCAGTTCGCAGATTCCTGTTGTATTAAGTTACAGCGCGTGAATTCTTCAGTTTCTCCCGAAATACATGAAAGTAAGTGGCCGGTGAACTGGGAGAAGAATAGAGTAAACTTTATAGTTACTTACACACTGTGTATCTGATATGAATAAAACACGTCGCCAAATATATTTGAATGGATTGTTATTGCTGCTTCCATAGACACCATTGTGTATTTTACAAACTATAAATTTATTGTTTTGCTATAAATCATATCTATTTAAATGTCTGAAACCTAAAATAAACATGTGGTTAAAAACACTGAATAGTTGTGATATATGACAAGCGCTGAGCGCGTCCGTCTTTGAGTGTACACTCATTTAAAGTGTACCTATTCACACAATTTTTTCCCCGGCCTTAATTTGAGACCGGCCTTTATTTGTCCGCGTTGACCACGCCCCCGGCCACTATCAGAGGCCCGGCGTTTATTTGAATACCGGTCTTTATTTGAGGAATTACGGTATGTGCAAGTGGATGTGTTTTGTTGTTTAAACACCTTTATAATGATCGCGTTAGTTGAGCTATATGTGCGAATGGGCGGTGCCATGTTAACGTTAGTTTACAACACGTCAATTTCTCAACTTCTCACGAAATACATGAAAGTAAGTGACCGGTGAACTGGGAGAAGAAAAGGGTAAAATGTAAAGCTACTTACACAATGTGTATCTGATATGAATAAAACTTGCGTCTTATTATAATGGAAAGGATTATTATTGACCCTTCCATAGACATCAGTGTATATTTTACAAACTACAAATATATTTTTTTGCTAGTAGTTATGTGTATTTAAATGTCTGAAACCTAAAATAAAAATGATGTGGTTGAAAACACTGAACAGTTGTGATATATGACAGCACTGAGAGCGTATGTCTCTGGCTCAGCGCCAGCCAACGCGTTTGAATTCATTGATAAATAACTTACACGAAGCAGAATAGTGGGTCATATGTCTAATGCTTTTTGAAAACTTAAGGCTTTCTTCTTCATAAAAGAAGTCGGACATCACATTTTTGTATACGTTTTTATTTCTTTAAATTAGTAAGCTACAGGACACCATCTTTCAAAACATGACCTGCGCGAAAGAGAAAAGTGAATGAATGCGTCATTGTTCCCAAATACACTTCCGAATGCGCCTCTGTTCATTTCAAACCAAACTGACGCCCATAGATCAAATTCTGCAGGTAAAATTACAATAATAAGGTGACTTGACTTGGACTTGACTTGACCTACTACAAGACTTGACTTGACTTGACTTGACTTAGCCTGTGACTTGACTTGACTTGACTTGACTTGACTTGACTTGCCCAGGAAAAAAATACTTGGGACTTACTTGAGACTTGAAGGTTAAGACTTGAGACTTACTTGAGACTTGCACATGTGTGACTTGGTCCCATCTCATGTCTTGCAAAGCGCTGTTCGTCTTTTGCCATCGTGTGAATAATTCTTGAAGCCGAAAGCAATGACCCTCGGTAGCCCTCCGGCCGACATTTTGATGTGATATCGGATCTAAGTGGGCGTGGTGTGCGTAAGGTACGAGAGGGTATGACTGATGATAGTGTCGTGATCAACTTAAAAAAAAATTTTTTTTTCTATATTTTATATTCAAACTGAAAACATGATGTGATTAACACTGACTCAAGTCATTCAAGTCATCGTGTCTCAAGTCAAGTCAAGTCAAGTCCCGAGTCTTTAACTTCCAAGTCCGAGTCAAGTCTCAAGTATTTCATTTTATGTCAAGTCAAGTCACAAGTCATAAAAATAGCGACTCGAGTCGACTTGATCCAAGTCACCAAGTCACAAGTCCCCATGTCTGAAATACACACACAGAAATGGTTAAGCAGAATCAAAATGCGTGTGTCTTATTGAATTCACGGTTCTTGGAGATTTGGAACCGGTTTTCGATATTTCTATTCCTACTGATAAATTGAAGGGGAGACGATTTTTTTATTCTAAATGTTGCTCAATCCTGGTTCCGTACAACTATATATGTGCAGCCTCTCTTATTATTGAACCACCCTCTAAATCCAAATTTATTCCTCTCTTATGGTTTTGATGGATGTTGTGTGATCGTTATCTTACATTGCCGAGTGAGAAATCAGACTTATGTTCATGTAAATTTATGTGCTTGAACATGTCAGAGATAAACTGTGCTCAAGGCTTTCTGCACGAGTGCAGCTCTGCTGTAGTCATTTACATCTCTAATGGATTGTAGTAGAATGATGTTTAATTGGACAACACCACTAATTACTGACTGTGCTCACACTGCAGTCCATTAACAGAAGAGGACGAGGCCATCATGTCCAGATTTGTGTGTGTGAAAATTGTGCCTTAAAGGTCCAAATATTTCTGGGGTCACTGTATGTGGTTGATATGTTTATTTTGATTAAGTGCGTGGAGTTGCTATGATAACTTATCTATGTTTGAACACCTTCGCTCTTCCCTGTTTTCATTGCTTTGTTTTTAAGCCCAGATGATCTCATCTGTTAGGCAAGTTTTCTTTTTTTTTTAGAGCACTTTGTGGGAGATAATGCACTATGTAACAGCATTTAAGATTAGGTAGGCTAGCAGTCAAAACAGTCACAGGGAAAACCTCTGGTACACCAAGTACAAAAAGGAGAGACAAATGAACAGATCTTATGACTTATCACCACAAGTTACCGTAATCTCTATAAACAGAATTTGTTGTGTAAATGAAGTTGAAAGATTAGACACAACATTCAAGATTGGCATCACATTAGTCTAGTTTGGGGTTAGTAAGAAAGAAAGAAAAGGAATTAATAGTTTTATTCAGCAAGGATGTATAGGAAACGTAAACACTGTTTTAAATAAATGCTGTTCTTTAGAACTTTTCTATTAATCAAAGAATCCTGAAAAACATGTAATATGTATAGGCTACAATGTAAACATTAAGCAGCATAACAGTTTCCAACATTGATAATTAGAAAAGTTTCTTAGGCAAATCATCATATTAGAGTATTAGAAAAAAGGACATAGTATTGTATTTTTTCTTATTGTACATGAGAAAAGATGTTTAGTTTTTATTTTACTCTCTCTGTCTGTCGCCCCCCTCAGGTCGGGAGGAATTAATAGAGCGAGTGCTGCTTTCCTCTATGCTGAACCCAGGTGAGAAGTGGCAGTCGTTCCCCCATCACGGTCACAGGTTTAATCTGGAATACCGCCTGCGATTCCGCTGTGATACCAATTACTACGGCCCACTCTGCAACAAACTCTGTCGAGCACGAGATGACTTTTTCGGCCATTTTGACTGTGATCCTTACGGGATTAAGGTGTGTAAGGAGGGCTGGACTGGAGCAGAGTGCCGACAGGGTGAGTGGGTCCAGCACATTGTCATCCGCTTGTCGGAGAAACTGTTAACAGACGTATCATACTAAACTAGGGGTGTAACATGATATCGTGTCACAATATATCGCAATACAAAAGTGCATCAATATGTATCGTGGATAGTAACAATATGAAGTGTGTGTAGTTCACCCAAAATGAAAATTTCTGTGTGGGTAAAAAAATTCAAGTTTTTAGAGTTTTAGTGTCAGTACTACATTAAAATACTATATATAATGTTGCATTGAATGTATAATAATGCAATGGGGTAATATTTGTGGGTCCTGATAATGCCAAATGTCTTATGTTACCAGTAAAAAGTGCTACATTATTTTAAATACATCTTGTCAGTGACAGAGTGCATATTCGCCTAAAATAATTGTGTATTTTCAGCTTCAGAATCATCAATATTGTTATTCTGGTGTCTCTATTGTCTTGTGCATTGGGTTACGAGCATCAAGTCCAAGACTATTCATTTCCACCCCCAATGCAATACCAAATTTAACATTTCAATAAACAGTCATTTTTTTGTTAAGCTTTTACCACATGTCTTGGAGTATTGCAATAATATCGTATCGTGAGTTCAGTATCGTGATATGTATCGAATCGTGACATGAGGGTGTCGTTACACCTCTATACTAAAATGATGGCGATATTTATGGACTTAGCTAACCTAGCTATAATTAAGCTAACATAAGTTTGTTGCAAATAACCCATATTAGACTTTAGCTACAGGATTATTTATTCAGATGGTTTTCCAACACACCACAGAGGCCAAATCGTTTTCCAGCAGAAAATGACTTAATGGAGAGAGAAATGTCCACATCCTAATGATTTGTGATCAGGAAGAGCCCATATTACCACCAAAGTCAAAACATTGACTCAACTATTGTTAACATAAAGCTAGCTCAGAGAAGCATGACTGGCTGCATTTAGCTATGGATTACGTGTCCAAAGCTTCTGTGTTTGTCTAATTCAGTTTGTGTTATAATGAGTGTTATGAAAATGATCCACTGCACTTGTTAGATGACTTGTAGTGGATCATTTTAATCATCATATCTGAATAAACCTTCTATATGCGTCTTTGTAGCGGTGTGTAAGCAGAGATGTCACGTGGACCACGGTTCCTGCGATGTGCCCGGAGAATGCAAGTGAGTCTGCCCAGGTTTCAGAAATATCACACCGTGTCTACAAGCGCCACAGAGCGCTGATGCATGTCATATGCACCGCAGTACCTGCTGGCTTTTGTTTTCGGTCTTTTTCTCACTTTTTCACTGTTGTAACCTCTCTCTCTATCTCCGTAGGTGTCATTATGGCTGGAAGGGTGATCTGTGTGATGAGTGCGAGACGTTTCCTGGGTGTGATCATGGCACTTGCACTGAACCCTGGAAGTGTGTGTGTGACACAAATTGGGGCGGCCTGCTCTGTGACAAAGGTGAGATGACATCTGCAACACACGGAAATGTGCTGGTGCGTGTGTATGCATAAATGTCTATTGTTATTATAAGGGCCATCAATCAATTTAAATCTTTACTTGTGTTTAACCTCATAATTTCATTGTAGTTAATGTGTTAACACACTCAGTTGCTTTTTAAGGAACATGTGTGGATGACACTTCTGTATCTGTAATATATGTGCATATTTAAAGGCAGCAGACAGAGGCAAGTTTCAGCACTCGTCGGTCTCACACTCTTTTCCACCCTGGAAGAGATGATGCATCACACAACATTCACCTAACACCGACCAACTGCTGAAAGATGACAGCGGTGAACTTTTTTTTTAACTTAAACACATCGGTTAAAAATGTACATATAATAATTATTAAAATGTTGATTTAATTATGAATGCATATGATAATCACATAAATACATCTGATTTATATTAGTAAGACCAAAGACCTGAAAAATCGGTAACACTTTACAATAAGGTTCATTAGTTAACATTAGTTAATGTATTAACTAACATGAACTAACATTGAGCAATACATTTGTTGCTGTATTTGTTAATCGTTGATAACGTTAGTTAATAACAATACAGCTGTTCATTGTTTGTTCATGTTAGTTCACAGTGCATTAACTAATGTTAACAAAATTTTAATAAAGTATTAGCAAATGTTGAAATTAACATTAACAAAGATTAATAAATGCTGTATAAGTGCAGTTCATTATTAGTTCATGCTAACTAATGCAGTTAACTAATGTTAACTAACGAGTCTTATTGTAAAGTGTTACCGAAAAATCAAAAGCTGGCTTTAACGTCACAGTCCAAATGTATTAAATTTAGCGTCGTAAGATTTTTAAAAATATTTTTTTTAAGACATCACTTCTGCTTACCAAGGTTGCATTTATTTCATAAAAAAATATGAAAAACAGTAATATTTTGAAATATTATTACAATTTAGAACAACTATTTTCTATTGTATTATATTTTCTATTGTAATTTATTCCTGTGTTGTATAATCATTTGAATGCTGGTGCTCTCAAGAAACATTTATTATTATTATCAGTGTTGAAAACAGTTGTGCTGCTTCATATTTTTCTGGAAAATGTAAAAAAAGATTTTAGGATTCTTTGATGAATGGAAAATTCAAAATAAATATTTTGTAACATTATAAATGTTTTTTTACTGTCACTTTTGACCAATTTAATGCATCCTTGCTGAATAAAAGTATTATTTTTACTGATCCCAAACTTGTGAATTGTAGTGTAAAATGTATAAAATTAATGGCGAAAAAAGACCTATGAAGTAAAACCTTTTTATTTCAGATGAGGATAATAAAGTGGCACTGCAGCTCTGCAGCTCTGCAGCTCGTCAGAAGTACAACCTGACAGATGTCATTAAAATAGGAAAACACTTCATTTTTTTTAATCTGAAACGGTGTCTGCCTGTCAATCATTTTGTGCAGGATTGCTGAAAACGCCATGTCTGTCATGTCTTTGCAGGGCAGGGTTTTGGAGACAGGCTGACGTTGAAGTTAGCAGAATGAAAGTGAAAATGTCAAATTGAAAAAGAAAAAAACCTTAATAAAATGAAGAGCGGTGGCTCGACAGGGGAGGCAAGGGAAGCACAGACTTCCAAACATTTTGAGGTGAAAATGGGAGAAGGATCATTTAATGTTAATAAAATTCCCAGTTATTTATTTTATTTCTTGTCTCAGAATGTGTATTTCTTGTTTGTAATTTCACCACTGTTACACCATAAAATATTACTGAAGTCAGAACCGCTGCTGCTCTTCCCTGATCGTGCCAAATCTACCGATAGGAAAACTGTGCTAAGGCGATTCTGAAGGGAAAAGAAAAGGGAAGGGGAGGCAAATCCATAGCCAGAGACTTTTGCCTCCGTTGAAAAAAAATAGCCAATCACCATCAAGTATCTCACTTTCAGTGGTTCGAGTGTTGAGGAAAAAATACCCCCCCCCCCCAAAAAAAAAGTTCACTGATTCCAAGACTTGCTGCATAGGCAATGTTTGTGTAAATAGATCATGATTATCCAACCCGATCTCATAAAAGTGCATATCTATACCACGAATGTCATTTCTCGTGCCATTTATACGCCAAAAATGTTTTTTTGCATCTATATGATACGCAGTTTTTGCGTGCATATGATACGGACTAGAACTTGAGCCGGGCATTTGTTTGGGGTGGAGGATAAAACAGGCTCTTGCCATTTAGCAGTTATGGGAATGGCACTGACACACACACACACACACACACACACACACACACACACACACACACACACACACACACACACACACACACACACACACACACACACACACACACACACACACACACACACACACACACACACACAGGTGAAAGGACTAATGTGCTGACAGATTAATTGAGGTCATAGAACTAAAGAGCACACACACACACACACAAAACTCAGATCTCAGGAGCCAGTCTACCAGTCCTGTATCATTTCCATTTGGTTTTAGTTTGTGTCTGTTGGTTGTAATTCTTCCAGTTAAGCATACTTTTGTGTTGTGGGTAAATCTTCAGGAAACAATCCATTTGAGTGTAACTCATCCCCTCAAGCATGACCTTGTAGGAATCTTGGTTAGATTTTGTATGATTTATGATACAAACTACATTTAAACAATGTCTTGGTTGTCAAACCCGATTTGTGTCTAGACCAAACTGGCGTTTTGTTTAACCCCATGAATCTGAGCTTGAAATTATTGTTTAATGTTAAATGCTCCTTCATGCAACAGTTCCCAGTGGGAGATGTACATTTTAGTGAGATTTTATAGACATATATTCACATATATATATTACAGATGTTGGTTTATTGTATTGCTGGAAGTGGAACAGATGTATCACATATGTTTTCACACGGCTATCAGTGCTTTTTTAGTCATTTTGAATAATCAATAAGGATTTTAATAACAAATCATTTAAAACTGTGTGTTTGTATGTATATGTGTTTTGTATCATTTGAGATAGACAATGTTCCTCTGTCTGAATCATGTGGTTTTAATTTGTCCTCAGTTGGTTGGAGTGCTGTTTATTCCTCTCTTTTGCTGCAAGGAAAATTTAAATGATGATACATTTGCATTGGTTTTGTCTTTACCACAAGTTTCTTTTTTCTTAAGTCAACATGAATAAACATTCACTAAACAGTGTATTACCATAAAAAATGTGGGACAGGACTTGATTTGATCCGTTTTCATGATTGGAAAATGAAGAGTGGATGTTTGATACAAAACTTTGCAATCACCAATGACAATTCTGTCATTATTTACTCTCCCTCATGTCGTTCCAATCCCGTAAGACTTCAGAACGCAAATGAAGATTTTTTTGATGAAATGAGAGCTTTCTGTCCCACCATTGACAGCTACACAACTGACACTTTGACGCTTCAGAAAGTTTATGAAGGGATCTTAAAACTAATCTATAAGAATTGAGCGGTTTAGTCCCAATTTTCTGAAGAGACTCGATCGCTTTATATGATGAACAGATTCAATTTAGGCTTTTATTCACATATAAACATTGATCAGCGAACATAGACAGAAGCTCAACCGAACCTGCTTGACAAGCGAGAATGAACCTCATTGGCTCTTGATGAAGCTCAGACGTGCTGCGTAACACGAGAATGAACCTCATTGGTTCTTGCTGAAGCTCAAACGTGATGCGTAACACAAGAATGAACTTCATTGGTTCTTGCTGAAGCTCAAACGTGATGCGTAACACGAGAATGAACCTCATTGGTTCTTGCTGAAGCTCAAACGTGCTGCGTAACACGAGAATGAACCTCATTGGTTTTCACACGTTGAGCAAGCATTCTTGATTGCTTTTTAAAAACACACCTGCGAATCAATGTTAATATAATAAATTGTCAGATTTCTCTAACTGCAAATATTTTTTTATCTCTCTCACTTACAGATCTGAATTATTGTGGTAACCATCAGCCATGCAAGAACGCTGGTACTTGTACCAACACTGAACCGAACGAGTACCTGTGTGTGTGTCAGGAGGGCTTTCGTGGCCGCAACTGTGACATCGGTGAGCTGACGCTATAAAACACAACCATAAACTCTGTCAGCCCTGACAGCCTAATACAACCATACCTCACAGATGTGCTGGACAAGAAAAAAATCAGCAGATTTGTAGTCAAAGCTCAGCTCTGAATGTCTTCAGCTCTTCTTTTTCACTGTGCCACCCATCATGAATTTGACCAATTATCTCCTGCGAAAGGATAATTTTAGTCCGTGTTAATGTGTGATCTCTGATGTGACTCTGAGAGGTGTTGATAAGAGATAAATTTACAACAAGAATGTACTGGAGTTGAATGCCTCAAACCAAGAATCTCTGTCAGACGACAAATACAGCATAAAATATACACTCTTATGTTCATATTAAAGGTGAAGTGTGTCATTTCTGCTCCAAACATAGAGCTGTTCAGTAAGTATCTCTTCCTCTCGTCCCCTTAACAGTGGAGCACGCTTGTCTCTCCTCTCCATGTGGGAATGGAGGAACGTGTATTGAAGACCCAACAGGCTTCAGCTGTGTCTGCGCGTCGGGCTGGACGGGACCCTCCTGTGCCTCCGGTAGTTAAACACACACACACCTGCACAGATTGCAATCAGCACCAATCAAAGGCAGCTGCTATTTCATGTGCTGCTGCAGCCAATTTTAGTCAGAACTACATTAAAATAATGCTCCCTAACAGTCAGCAATCACACATGTAGGATGTTCAGATGATAATGTGTCTCAGAGATCAGGTTGTGAGAGCTCCTCAAATTTAAGGACATTGGTTCATTGGTTTTAAGACCATTACATTGTTTTTACATGTTACATTTACATTAATGCATTTGGCAGTTGCTTTTATCCAAAGCGACTTACATTGCATTTCAAGGTACACATTTACATTCACATTTTTTTCTTGGGAATCGAACCCATGACCTTGGCGTTGCAAGCGCCAACGCTCTACTGTTTGAGCTACAGGAAAGCATGTTCTCATCAGTTTAAGCATGGGCATCATGCCTTTATGTTTTTAGAAGACATGAAAGTCGGGCTCAGACTACAGGAGTTTCAGACCAGGCCAGATTTATGCCCGGTTTATCCCTCCCGACATTTGGAGAAAAGGGCATTGGCCGGTTCCCTTGTTCGGCCCAGATTTTATGGTAATGTGAGGCGTTTACAGATCAAATCTTAAACCTGATCGTGGACACATCAGGGACACCTGAAACAAGTTTGATATTTATTTTAAATCGGTTGATTTACGTCAGTACTTCCACAATAGCCAATGAGAGACAAGTCTACAAGTCTATACTTTTTTAAATGGCGACCGTGAAACAACAAGCAGCTGTACGTGGACAACGGGGATTGAGGAACGGCTGGTCAAAATGTGGAAACAACACGACTGCCTTTATAATGTCTCCTCATTATATTTTGTTTACACCCGCTTTCCCGTGAAATCACGTGAGGTGCTAAATCTGGCATGATAATCTTAAGAATATGTTGTATAGTGTGTGATGCGACACCATTTTCAAATCTTGTAATGTGTGCAGGTTTGAGATTTGAAAGAAGAAAATCTGTGAAGATTCTCCTTATGCAACCAGATTTCACAGTCGGTTAAGATTGAAAAACTCCTGTAGTCTGAAACTCGGCTTAAGGGTACGTTTACACTACAGATGGAAAGGTTTTTCCTTTGCGTTTTTGAAAATCTTTGCATATTATGGACAACAAAGTTATCAAAACGATCCCCGTTCACACGGATCCGCAAAAACAAAAAAATGCTGTATTATGCATGCTAGGCCAGTAAGAATCAAATGTTTCGGTGCACTGGAAGGATTTTGAGATTGAGGCCACATTTACATTTCTGTGATAAAAACGGGGTTTTTGTGTAAATGAGAGGCCAAACCGCAGGGAAATATCTGTGTCTTCCCTTCGTGTCAAAGGGGCATGAGACAGCCCTTAAAATGTTTGACTCCCTGATCAGTGCCCAGACTACTGAACTAGGGAGCTGATTGAGACCTTTCTAGTAATCCTGAAGAGCTTGATTCGCTTGTTCAGGTGTGTTTGATTAGGTTTGAAGCTAAACCAAAGCCACTTGAAGGCGAGCCTGCAACCCTAGTCGAAAAAAGCATAACGTCGGCTTACGCTGCAGGGAAAGAGACACAAGGCGGTTTTTTTTTAATGGATGTAATTGGAAGAGAGGCTTCACTACACTGAAAAAAAAAACTTTTTTTTTTGTGAGGAAATAGCTTATTATTTAATGAATCGACAGCCCATTGGCTAATCTTCAACATGTTTGCTCTTAAACATTTGTTTTGGATTGATCTATCTTTAGAGTTTACACCAAATAAAATGCTGTTTTATCAGAGAAACCACGGACACTTGCACGACAGGTAGATTTCAGTTTACAGCACTTCTCATTCATTTCTATGGTATCCGCAAACAGTGATTGACTGTCGCACAACTCAATGACGTCAAGGTTGTGATTGGTTATCAAGTCACACGTGATCCAAGTTAGCCGTTACGCTTTCTCCAATGGTCACGGAGCCTCGTATCTCCCAAAAATCTCTGGCTGAACTCTGCAGGAAAGTGGACCTCGTGCTGAACACAAAAGAAGATATTTTGAAGAATGTCGGTAACCAAACAGTTGATGGACCGCATTGACAACCATAGTAGGAAAAAAAAAATACTATGGAAGTCAATGGGGTCCATCAACTGTTTCATTACAGACATTCTTTAAAATATCTTCCGTTGAGTTTAGCAGAAGAAAGAAATTCATACAGGTTTACAGGGTATAAATTGCTAGTCTAGTGGTACAGTTTAGCATGCAAGGAGGCATGGGTCTAAGACACAATCTATTATATTACTTTTTTTTAAACCAAATTGTTGTCTAGAAATGAGATAGACATTGACATTTTTTTTAAATCATTTTGTGTTACACAGGAAAAGGTCATGGAAGTTTTGGTTGACATGAGATGGTGACAAAAAAACATTCAGTTTAATGCCAGAGATTTGAGGAAGGTGCAAAAGTTAGATTTAGACTGTGAACTTGTTTCTGTCACAGCCTTTTAAGCACTTTGTAAACCTTGCAACAACCAAGCAACTAAGTAATTAAAGACATAAATGTTTTTATTTGAAAGTTGCATTCAAAATCATTATGATGGATGGATGGATTTGATGACTTGATGAGACTTGAATGGACTTGACGAGACAGAGAACATGTTCTGTTTGCATGCAGCAGTGTTGCAGTGTGACTCCAGTCCTTGTGGTCGTGGGGCCACATGTCAAGAGACGGAGCAAGGTTTCCAGTGTCTATGTCCTCCATTCTGGACCGGCAGAACCTGCCAGCTCGGTACGTATATAAACCTGTCCTGAGCCGTCCATACATGTCCACACTTGCCTGACTTGGCCTTACGCTCATACCCATCCACAGTCTCACCTGCCGTAACCTGCCTCTACCTGCCTAAACTTGTCATAGACCGTACCCGTCTGTTCTTTCTTGTTTTTGCTCGGTTCCTCACCTCACTCTCAGGGTACAGGGACTAGCTATGCACCGAGGAATTAAATCTAAGAAACCATAAAAAAAAATATTACAGAAACCATGACCACCACCATGTTTGCCATTTGAAACCACTAAATCATAACAATCAAATCCAGAGATGGGAAACTCTGCTCACACATCTTGTGTTTATAAATTCCATATCAGCACAAACCACATTGAAATTATTAATCAGCATCACTGCTCCGCCGACCATTATCCGTTAACCCACATCAGACAATTTCATGCTACAGTGTGCCGTATATTTAATTGCTGAATGAAGAGAGCTGTGGTTGGATGTGTCGCTGATGCTGTTGACTTCTGGGAGTCTCTCTCACACACTCCATTGCCCCTCAGGCCCAGATCAGCTCTGGCTCTCTGGAGAGTATCAGTCTCTCTGGACTGTTGGCACTCTGTGAAATACACTCATGTGTCACAGTGACACCTCAGAAAACAGCCGTCAGCGTCAGCAGATCTGTCTTTGAAGGCGAGATGTGGGTTGTAATAAGCACAAAAACAGCAACCGTGGATAGAAATAATATTTTCTAGAGCATTTTATTAGGAACAACTTAAGCGAGAAATTTTACACTGAGAAATATGCAAGTTTGGGGTCAGTAATTTTTTTTTTTTGTAAGAAAATGAGTACTTTTATTCTGCAAGGATGCTCTGTGACAGTAAAGGCATTTATAATGTTACAAAAGATTTCTATTTCAAATAAATGCTGTTTTTGAACCTCTATATAACATTATGGTTTCCACTAAAATATTAAACAGCACAACTGCTTTCAAGAATGGTTCTTGAGCAGCAAATCATCATATTAGAGTGATTTCTGAAGGATCATGTGACACTGAAGACTGGAGTAATGATGCTGAAAATTCAGCTTTGCATTACAGAAACGAATTATATTTGAAAATATATTCAAATAGAAAAAGTTAATGTGGCAAGTTAACGATTTTTGCTATTTTTTGCTGTTTGACAACCAAGTTGTCACCAGTTAACTAATGGACTACTACTTGCTGATAACTATAATTATCATGTAATTATTTATTGAACTCCACTTTGTACCAATCAGCATCCTTTAACCATGATAAAGTCACTCTCAGCTGCCTATAATTGTTTTAAATAGTATGTGAAACCTTATTATATGCATATTTAACTCTTTCCCTGCCATTGTCGGAATTTTCTGGCTTTCAATGTTTTTAACGTTTTTTTTCTTTTTTCGTCAAATGCAAACGTTAATTGCATTTAACGTTTAGCTTAGTCCGGTGTGTTTTTGTCCGGTGTGTTTTTTTAGTGTTTTTACTATTTGATGTTGTTTTTGCTGCTTTTATGATTCTATGTAAAGTGTCTTTAAGTATTCAGAAAAGCGCTTACAAATAAAATGTATTATTACTATTATTATTATTATTAATGTTATACGGTAGGGGCGCATCTTCTGAAAGAGTACTGAATCTCCAAATTGAAACACAGGCAAAAAAAAAAAAAAAGCGATAAAAGCATTGTAAAATATAAGCGACGGTCTTTAAAAAAACACAATTTTCTCAGCTTTTTGTTCAAAATGTCTTTTTTTTATGAAACTTACCCACATACAAGGGTTGATAAAAAAAGGTATGCATGAAGCTAGAATAAAATAGTTTTGTTTGTTTGTTTAAAAGCAGAGTCTCTGTTCTTTATGTTCAGATATTCATGCAACAAAATATTCTGCGGGCCATGAGCAAGTTCTGTGAAAATCATCAGAAATGCAGGCGCTGGCTGGCAACTTTAAAAAAAAAACGGTGGCGGGGAAAGAGTTAATTCACAGAGTGGCATCTAGTTGTCATCTCGGAAATACATTTTCTTATTCCAATCTATATAGCCTATATAAAAATGTCTATTGGCACCCTAGAAAAAGATGGTAAAATTTGTGGTGGATATTACTTTCACTTCATTAGTTAAACTGGAAATTGGAGGTCAAGTTGTGGGATACACAACCCAGCTCGTTATGTTATGCTGTATGTTGCACATTTTGGCAAATATAGAAGGTCATCTGGATATTGCATATGTAAAGTTCGCCAATTATACACACTATATACTGCAGAAATAGTAGTATGGTGGTATGCTAAATATAGCCTCACTTCATCACTGTGTTTCGTTCCTCTTCCTTAGACACTAATGAATGTGAGACTGGCGTGTGTGTCAATGCTCGCTCCTGCCGTAATCTGATTGGAGGATATTTGTGTGACTGCCTTCCCGGTTGGTCAGGAGCAAACTGTGACATCCGTGAGTATTAGATGTGGTTTTCACAGAACCAGCAAAAACACTGTATGATTGAGTTTTAAATCAAACACGACAGTTTCAGTGCTGGTGGGAAATGACTTCAGGGTGAACTCACTGTGAGCTTGTCCTACCATGGTCCGCTCGCACTGTCATTGATGAATGTAGTTAGCTAGTCACTTTCTTCAATGAAACCCAGTGTTCTGTGGGTTTCCACTTGGTTGGCTATTGATTTTTTGAAATGTCATCTATTCAACAGGGAACAGTAGCTGCCAGGGCTTGTGTCTGAATGGAGGACACTGTAAGGTAAGAACCGATTCACCGCGATAATCTTACTTGCTCCTTGACCTTGAGGATGTGAAGTTACTTTGACTTTTAACCACTTCTCCTCGTGTGACATGTGCAGGACTCCCAGTGTGTGTGTTTGCCGGGATTCTCTGGGAAACTGTGCCAGACAGCAGTAAACGCCTGTGACAGCAATCCTTGTGTAAATGGAGGGCAGTGTGTCGAGCGTCAGGATGGCAGAGGCATGTTGTGCAGTTGCCCGCTGGGATACACTGGCTCCTACTGTGAGGTCAGAGATTATTACGCTTTGGTTTATTATAACAGTGCCCACAAGTCGGTAACACTTTACTTGAAGGGGTGTGCATAAGAATGACACGACACCTTCATAATCATGACATGACACATGTCATGTATATGGGTTTATGCATGTTTATGACAACTGTCATTAAGTGTCATTCGCTCAATGATGACATTTTTAATGCAAATAATGTCTAAGATGTCTTTGTCATGACAACTTGACATAAACCAAGACAACATAAATTGTCATAAATATGTCATAAACATGACATAGGAGATTAATTATCAAACTTAAGAAACCACTTAGCTTTATGGGTTAACATTACATTAAACTGTCATGTGGTTGGTTTTGACATTGGCTGTCATGAGGCCATTATAACATTTTAATGACAAATTCAATGTGTACCACTGTAGTTGAGGTCAAGAAAAATATTCATGACACAGTTATAATGGCCTCATGACAGCCAATGTCAAAACCAACCACATGACAGTTTAATGTAATGTTAACCCATAAAGCTAAGTGGTTTCTTAAGTTTGATCATTAATCTGCTATGTCATGTTTATGACATATTTATGACAATTTATTTATGTTGTCTTGGTAATGTCAAGTTGTCATGACCAAGACACTGACAGGTTATGATGTATTGGTTTATGTCAAGTTGTCATAACAAAGACATCTCAAACAATGTCATATTTGCATTAAAAATGTCATAATTGAGCGAATGACACTTAATGACAGTTGTCGTAAACATGCATAAAACCTCCTTCATATCCATGACGTGTGTCATGTCATGATTATGAAAGTGTCATGTCAGTCTTATGCACACCCCTTCAGGTAAAGTGTTACCCACAAGTCTTAGTTTCTGAGGTTCATTCAGCTCGAATCAGCAGTGTTTCTCAACCCTGTTCCTGGAGGCACACCAACACTACACATTTTCAAACTCTTCCAAATCAAACGTACATGATTCAGCTCATCAGATCATTAGTAGAGATTTGAGTCCCAGAGATAGATGGGTCAGATAAAGTACACATCCAAAATGTGCAATGTTGAGTGGGTTGGGAAACAGGGTTGGGAAACACTTACTTCAAGTCTGTGTGAACCAGAAGTTTCGACTGACTTTACTTCAGTATTGTGACATATTTGCATATTGAATGAGACAAAATATGACTGACTTATGGTACTTTTGTGTCATTTTTTGACGCTTTAATTTTTTTTGGTAAATTTTCTTCTAAATATAGAGATTTAAGATTAAAGTGTTAAATTCTCTGAATCTGAAAAGATTTTTAAAAAATAGGCATCATACACTTGTAACCAATGTTTCTCTGTAACCAATTTCCATTAACTCTTTCAACGAATTTTTTTCCGGCATTCCGTGTTTTCACTATTAATCGGTAGTGGGCGCTGTTACAGATCTTCTGAAAGAGTCACGAATCTCCTGATCAAAACACAGGTGAAGAAGAAGCAGAAACAAGCGATAAAAGCATTGCTGACGCACATGTAAAATAACGCAAAATCATCAAACATATAAATCAAAACTGCCTAATGTAACTGAATGAAATGTCGACCCAGGACTTTGAAGCTTTGAGTGTGTTGATGGACTCGATCTTCTCCATCTGTGTTTTGATCGTCGTCCTGAATCCCATCCAGACTCGTCTTTGACAAAAATGTGATTTTCTCAGCTTTTTGTTCAAAATGTTACCCACATTCACATTCTTACTTACCCACATTCAAGTGTTGATAAAAGAATGCATGAAGCTAGAATAAAAAGCACAGGCTCTGTTCTTTCTTTTTATATAGTTTTATGTTCAGATATTCATACAACAAAATTTTCTGGGGTCCATGAAACTTTTGTGAAAATGATACATTTTTTTATTTTTTTTTAAATGCTGGCGCTGACTGGCAATATATATTTTTAAAAATGCTTAAATGACAGGATCTGACTGAGTATTCACACATAAATATTAGCCTTGAGACACGACAAATGAACACAAAATCAGCTCTAAAATCAGCTCAAAATATCATATTTGATATCCTCCAAGTTCCAACTGCATCTGACCGTAGTCTGAAGCAAAAAAAGGAATCCAAGTCATCATATACTTTTTGAATGTTTGATATATTCAAAATGGGACTGGCAGAGATGATACCACTGTATATTTGCATGCTCAATTGTGATGTATCTTCTTTCTTGCATACATAATAAATGATATCTTTCTTTCTTGCAACTATTTTGACCTCCTATTTAACCACCTACATAGGCTGAAAATGCAAATCTAGTTTGTAAAGTTGTGACTGTATTTTAGGCGGAACTGGATCTCTGTAATCCCAACCCCTGCCCGAAGGGGGCGCCATGCCACAGTACAGGAGGAGGCTACAAGTGTGCCTGTCCTGAGGGTTACTTTGGAAACGACTGCCTGAGCCTGAAGGATCCATGTCATGAACCCCATTGCCAAGGTTAGAGGGATAAACAGTCACATAAAACAGTTGTTTACATGTGAAACGATGTTGAAATGATCTTTCTTGCTGTTCAGGAGCCGTGTCAGACCCAGGGGTGAGCGGGTTCAGTCTTTATATGGTGTTGGTGGGTGTGTTTGCCCTGCTTGTGTCGGGCAGCTGCTCTGTGTGTGCATTACTACTGTCCCGTCTGCACCACCGCCATCGAACCAAAGAGCAGCTGCGCACCTCAGCGCCCGAAGACAACGCCATTAACAACCAGCGGCTCTGCACTCTCATCCGTAACCTGGACCACAGCGTGGCTCTGCTGCCTCCTGCCCAAACAGTGCCCACCTCGGTGCCCACGCCAGTGCTCTGCAGCGAAGAGATCGAGCTCACTCTTCCTCCCTCACCTGCACCCTCTCCGGCTCTCAAACCAGCACTCGGACCCAAGATGGACATCTGCAACCGCCAGCGCGAGAAACTCAACCGCTTCCACTATGCAGAAAACCAGGACCTGGAGGTGTGACTGACTGCACTGTGACCTCTGGGGGAATAAATGACTTCTGCTGTGGTCTCTTAATCAACCTCTGCTGATGAACCTTGACCTCTGAGCTTTGCGTTATAGAGATCTGAGAGGGTTCAAACTGGGAAGGATATTATTGGCACGCTCAACTGAAGAAACTCTATTGACAGACAGAGTCCAAAATTTGTATTTGCTGCCTTGCCAATGATCGTTGAATTAAAGGCACACTATGTAAGATTTCTGGATTCAAATATCCAATAATCAATAGAACAATGTTATATATTTTGTTGATTTGTGTACTTACATTATCCCAAATGTTTCTAAGAATGTTTACATTCAGAGAAATGAGCAGTTTTTAAACAGTCGCCTATCGATGACATCATACCCGCGTTACCCTCGATTTCCGATTTCACAGACAGAAAACGAATAATTGTTATACAGCTCAACACAGTTAGTCTTTTTGTTTAAATCTTGTTTTCTTGATATACCGCGAGTACCATGCCTAACATTGATCTTGCTTACCGCAGTGAGCAACAAGTGTCTCATATAGTAGCAGTTATAGCATTATAACAACTTTCAACACACTCAAATGTATCTAATATGATAAAACAGCGCTGCGTTACCCCACACAGAGATTCCCTGATACAACTGTAAAGCGATTTGGGTGTACAGTAGTACATATGAAAGAGCTTCATAAATGCCTCATTCATTCATTCACATACGCATGACCGGAAGAATCAGAAGCGGCGCAATAAAAGCTCGTCTCTCATTAGCAGTCGCTCCAGCGGCCTCGACAGCTTTCGTAACGTTAATAAATCTTTAATACATTACTGGTCCTCCATGAAATGTGATTTCTGCCTGAGTCCATCGTATTCTCCACCGGCTGTAGAGGTGAAGACTACAACTCCCATGATTCTGCGAAATCAAGGTGTCATCAAGCTACGCCTTTGTTCTGAATAAACGACCTCTAGTGGCGAAAACTTACATAGTGTGCCTTTAAGAACATTTAACAGCCATAAATATTTCATGAAACTGTAACAAATGAATACATTTCTTTCATTGATAATTGAGATGATAAATCAGATGAGACCATGAAACTGCGCTGCTACAAAATTGTGAGGAATATTATAACACGTACAATATGACATCATAAAATTCTGTATCGGTCATGTCATTTACATCAGCGAGGATCAGATTTCCGTTCTTACTAATCGCTTTAAACCATCAATTTTACAGTTCCTGATAAAGTTACCAGCCAACTGGTGAGTAAATCCATTTTAGTTATCATAAAGCCATTTTTATGCACATTTCATGCTTGGCGAGAGTCAATTTTGGACCCTGTCAGGTCAGAAATGAGTTTGGAAGAAAGAGCAAGAAGTGTTTTTAAAGTCCAGTATTTCAGCTTCTTTGAATCCTGGATATTTAAGTGTGTTTTATTGTGTTTACACTTGTGCCCTATATATTTGTACACATTTGTTGGATTGTAAGTGTGTGTTTGTGAGCGTGTAAGTTGTATATGTATGACTGTGTTTGTGAACGATTCACCATAAATTCCCACAAAGCCATGCACATCATCACAACTCCCTGGGCCTCATTTATAAAACATGCGTACGAACAGATTTGACCATAGAGTTTGCATACTCTAAAATCCACGCCAACTTTCATATTTATAAAAGCGGTCTTTGCCGTGGAAAAGTACTCAGCGCCAGGTCACGGTCTAATCAAGTCTACACACTTTTCCCATTTAGATTTTATTTGGAAATCTAAGCAATTCTTGCCGCTCTCTATTCTCAAGTACAGCATTTGGACATTGACTGGTGCTCTTTTTTATATGCTAATAACATGAATTATGCGTTTACAAGGTGGAGATCTGAAACCATTCGGCTGCACACAATTTCAAGATCACTTGCGATTTCTAAATTTCACAAACATAAATTTCTGGACAGAAAGGCGTACGGATGAATCACACGTAGGCATATTTGAGAGTTTCTACGCAACATTGTATAAATGAGGCCACTGACTTTTTGATACTTGCGTAAAACAGTATATTTGTGTCCATGATTGACATTTAAAGGAATTATGGAGAAAATAGCAGCACCGACTGAAAAAGTGCCAGGTGACATCCTTAAAGTCCCACTCCGATCATATTTTGAGCTATTTTTAAACATTCCCAGTGGTCTTTAAATTATGATTATGCCATTTTTAGCCAAAATCACAAAACCTGTGCCGTTTTCTGGGAATTCGCTTCAGCAGAGCGGCAGTTGCTCATTAGCAATTCGCCTCTGCGTTGTGGGCGGAGCCGTTGGCACGGAGACGCCCCTCCCCCTGCCCGTTGCTGAGAGCTCTGTCTCTCCCGCTAGCTTACACCCCCAATACCGGTGGGGCAACAGTATTATATACACGTTAATTATTATTATCCGAAGTTAATCAAAGTTATCACCGATCACCGATCATTATTTCACTCCAAGACGTCGCGTGTGGAGACGCCCAGTGGAGTTACTACGTCACAACTCCAGTCTATTTTAGCCGGCATTTTAGCGTCTGCTACTGATTCACAGCCTTTTGAATGTAGAAATACTCAGAAATACAACTTTGAGCTGATTTCTCTCAAGATATGTCCTCTAACATCAGAAAAATGCCACAAGAACATGTTAACACCTAGAAAAACATTATTTTCATCGGAGTGGGTCTTTAAAAATCTTGTTAATTATTGCCTGTCATGTTGGAGATGTACAAGATGTATGATTTTTTTTATAATACTTGGATGTATATACCGCCATTGTACATATTTTGTACATATAAAATTTTGCCATTTTTGTACGCTGACTCCTTTCAAAATGTGGCCATTTTAATTTCCTGTTTTCACTCGTTCCACTCAGCTGGTATTTGCAAGATGGAATTGTAATTAAAGTGCATTTATCAATCAAAGCACGTGTTTGTGTGCATTGCATTAGCGGTATTGCAGCACATTTGGTATATCAGGGTGTGTGTGTGTGTGTTCGGTAATATTGTTCTGTATTACTGACTCTTCCTTACTGTCTAATTGCCATTTGGTGAGCTGTGTGAAGTGAATAAAAGGACATTTGTTCACAGAGCGTCCTGCTCCTTACAGCAATTTTACTGTACGTGTCAGTGTTGACTTTCATGTTCACTAGCATAAATAATATAACAGCATGTTCGCAAAGACGTATGACCACCTAAATCATTTCAGTTTGTGTTTATTTTACAGCTACTCAGCGTTAGTGAGTTTGATTCATTTTCGATTCACAGATCCTTCATCACTCAAATGTGCTCCTCATGCAGAATTTTACAAAGAGCTATAAAAAGGACAATATTTACAAGTTAAAATCAGTGTTGGGTGTAATGCATTACTAAGTAATTAGTGTAATTGAATTACTTTTCCCTTAAAAAGTAAAGTAATGGATTTCTGTAAGTTAATTACAGTTACTTCTGATGTAATTGCATTAAATACTGCATTTTTTAAGCACTCTAAAGTGAAAGCCTCTGTAAAGAAACCTGTTAAAACCACTTATTTCTCATTGTTCTGACTATGTAAGACTATAGGACACAGCAGATTCTGGATCCTCCTGTTTATTTTTTAGCAGATGATTTTTAGAGTTGAATATAGTGATTTTTAGACTGATAATCAAGAATGGATTATGAACCGTTTTCACCCTTAACTCGAGTTCATTAATCTACAAATGATGGTTATTATACAAACACATCTCCTGCGTATACAACAGAAGTCAATGGAGATCTTCAGAAGACTTGGAATACAGCACATGACTTGAATGGACTGCTTTCATGCTGATATGCTTTGATTCAAGCTGCGCTGCTTTTCTGGCCAATTTTGGAATTTTAATGATGCTGACAATTATGAAAATTCCAAAATTGGCCAAAAAAGCAGCACAGCATGAATCAAAGCATATCAGCATCATGAATAAAATCATGAACATTCTTAGAACTTCTCCTTTTGAGATCCACTGAAGTCATGCAGGTTTGGAATGACAATGACGTGGGAAAATAAAGGAAATTTGTTTATTAATTTTTTGGTTAACTATTCTTTAAAGAAATTAATTGGCTGTTTAAGGAAAGATAAACGTATGGGAGCATGATTGATTGGCTTGTTCATCACAGGATACACATTTATTTATTATTCTTATCTATCTATCTATCTATCTTTCTATCTATAAATTACAGGAACGTCTGTCTGTCTGTTAATCGCATATCTCTCGAACCGTTAGGCAGATGGATTTCAAACTTGACAGGTGTCTTGCTACGGGCACGAGTAAGTGCAGTGCCGAGTTTGACGCTGTTTTGATTATAAATGCAAAAGATATCGTTAAATATATCTGTAAAAGAAGCAGACATTGAAGTTGTGGTTTAAAAATAAACATTCTGTCAGCTACACTGTTCACTTCTGAAGTAAAAAAAGTAGCGATAGCGATTCTTTTCAAGGTGGTTTTTATACATGTATTACAACGTAATTATACGTTTATCACAATGTAATTATACATTTATTACAGTGTTATTATACATTTTATACAATGTAATTATAGATAACAGTGTTATTATACGTTTATTACAATGTAATTATAAATTTATTACAGTGTTATTATACATTTGCTACATTATTATTATTGTACATTTGTTAAATTATTTTGTTACATTCTTTTTGAAAAAAGTAGCGATTCTTTTTAAAAATGTAGTGTAAAAAATGTAATTATACATTTTTAAGTCTTATACATTTATTACAAAGTAATTATACGTTTATTACAATGTAATTATACATTTATTACAGTGTTATTATACATTTGTTACATTATTATTATTATACATTTCTTACATTATTTTGTTACATTATTCTTATTGAAAAAGTAGCGATTCTTTTTGAATAGTGTAAAAAAATTTAATTATACATTTGTTACAGTGTAATTATACATTTGTTAGTCTTATTATACATTTATTACAATGTAATTATACATTTATTACAGTTTTATTATACATTTATTACAATGTAATTTTATGTTTATAACAACGTAATTATACATTACAGTGTTATACATTTGTTACATTATTATTATTATACATTTGTTACATTATTATTTTGTTACATTCTTTTTGAAAAAAGTAGTGATTCTTTTTGAAAACGTAGAGAAAAAAATTTAATTATACATTTCTTACAGTCTTATTATACATTTATTATAATGCAATTATACATTTAATACAATGTAATCATACGTTTATTATAATGTAACTATACATAGTTTAAAAACTATGTATAGAACTATGAAAAAGTAGTGATTCACTTTTTAAAAAGTAGCGATTCTTTTTTGAAAAAGAATAGATTCACTTGAAAAAGTAGCAATACTTTTTCAAAAATGAATTGCTACTTTTTAAAGTGAATCTATTCTTTTTGAAAAAGAATCGATTCACTTTTTAAAAAGTGAATCATTCACTTTTTAATAGTTCTATTCAAGTTTTTAAACTATGTATAGTTACATTATAATAAAGTATCGATTACATTGTATTAAAAAGTATCGATTGCTTTTTAAAAATGTACTAATAACTGAATCTGAAAGTCAGCTACACTGTTTAATTCTGAATATTATATTTTATTCTGGTGCACTTATTATCGTTTTCTCAGAGTTTAGGCTCCTGAGTAATAGTAGCCTAGGCTAAGCAACTCAAACATAGCCTACCAAACCAACAATTACTAAAAACACACAAAAACGGATTTTGCACGGACAGTGCACTAGTTATTAAATCAATGACAGATTTAAATCATGATGACGTACTTGTACTTTTATGTACTTGTACTTTTATATACTTTAAACCACTGATTATACATTTCATTTTAGTAGCAAGCAACATGTTGGTCATCCCTATTATTATATTTCACAAAATCAACCTAACTCTCAGTACGAACGTAACTACAAATGTTTTACAAATCGGTCCAAAATAGTGATTCACTAACATACATCACTCCTCATCTAGAACGATGATAGAAATATAAAGTGCGAACTGATGTGCATTATAGGGAAAGTGAGTCAGAGGTCAGCAAAAAGTGAGAGTGCCTTATGACAAATGTGAACTTTGACCTCTTACAGAGAGGGAATGGGCGGATATAACTCTTGCCTTCCTGTTCCCACCCGTCCGAGAGGAAATGTAGGAAGTTCAGTCCTCTTAAAACACATAAATGAGCCGTGTCACACACACACACTGACAGTGATGAAATCGGGACCTCCTCCCTCACACCTGCTGGGTCTCAGGATACACAACCCTCCTCTCATTCACAGCATTGTGCTCAAGACCAGCAGGTCAGCATCTCAATTAGTCTTTTTCCTGTCTTAGCTGTCAATTGTCTTTAACAGTGTGAAGTCACAATGACAGTGAGGTGTTCGGTTAGAGAGACAATGATGTGGCCAGTCACATTTACAAATGCTGGATAGGTTTCAGTTTGAAATTTAGATACACCAACCAGCCAAATGCGAGTTTAACCATGCCAGGCAACATCAACGAAGCGTAAAGTGGGTTGCGCTGTACGACAAGCACCACATCTTAAAACTCAAATCCATTGTTTTCTATGTAACAATGCAACACTCAACACAGACGCTTCAAAACCAATGGCCCACAGAATGTAAGGTTCTGGGAAGGTAGGCTACTATATGGCAGTGGCTATCAGAGTCGGGGGTAATACGAGTTACGTAATCAGGTTACTTTTGTCAAGTAACTAAAGTAACGCATCAGTTGAAAAGTAATACGCTGTTTCCCCATGTTTTGACTGACAGCTCTCCTGTCCCAGAGAAATCAGGAGTAAGAGCAGAGACGTTGTGTGTGAACTGTGAACATCATGATTATTGTAGATCTAGACTAAATGTGAACATGCATTTACTCGTCTCACTTACACAAACACAATTCAATATTCCTCAAAATGAATTAAAACAGTGAAATGCAAGGAATATTATGCAAATGCTCAGAATATTCTGCAAACCTGCAATAGTTAAATGTTAAATTACACAAATATACTTTCCCATAATACTGTGACGTATTTTTAAGTAAAACCATCCATCGTTAATTGATTGAATCGTTTAAAGTTAAAATATGTGAGGAAAAGAAGAGGTTGATGTCAGCTGAAAGTGTCCTCAGAGCACATTTTTCTGTTGAATAATTGACAATAAGACCAGGAAAACGCATTAAAACATTAAGAGGGTCAATTCTGATTTCATGATGACTTTAAAACTGTGTCGTTCAAAGCCGGATGTGATGTAACCTTTCTATGGATGCAACCAGGCCAGCTGACAGTCTTGCCTGGGCCCGGGACAAGATAATCTTAGATGGGGCCCCCCCACGATTTTTTTTATTTTTATAAAACACCATATACTTTTACCCACAATGAATAATAAAAACACGTTTAAATGGGTACATTTTCTATAAATGTCTTCATTTTCTTTTCTGACATAGCCTACTGCAGTTCTTGTTAAAACACACTAGACATGCATAATCTGTGCATTTTGGGCACTTTTTGTGTGAAATCATATTTCTTTTTTGTCCATCAAAAGTGTGCTTTCACTTTTAAGCATGAGCAGCGCAGAAAAAATAGACTCGGATCTGACCCATTATCTGTTCACCGATGATGACAGTGATGCATTTCAGCCGGCTTTTTATTTCTCATCTCCATAAATAGTAGTAAAGCTAATCCAAGGGCTAGAAATCAATGAATTCTTTGCTAATACTTCCTCGTCATCATGGAGAGCGCAGTTCGCACCGCTTTCTCCTTTCCACAAGCGTTTGCTCTCCCGTGGCGTCTGTCGTTGCTATGCAACAATAAACTTAGGCGCGCCTGTAAAAACGAGCGCGCCGCGTCGCTATTATGAGCTAATATCCAAAATATTTCCATATGTGGCTCTTTCCTCCTTTCTTATCAACAAGTGGATTTACAGCATACAGCCACCACAGCAGCAGCACCGCCGGTCGCCATGTCTCAGCGCTTTTATGAAGAGGACGCAACTGCACGCGCTTTGGGCATGCACGCGCATCCCGGGTTTGAGAAAACCTGGTACCGTGGCGTGACGTTTAAAAAGAAATTTGTACCGACTTGGTACCGAAGTGCCGGGTCTTTGACAACACTCATAAACGCTGGCTGCGCTGTTTCTTACCTTGCTCTACGTTGACTTTACTAACGTTAGTTCCAGCTTCACCGTCACCACCTTTTTAAAAATATTTGTTTAGGGCATCTCGAAGGCCTCTATTTTCTTCTTCTCTTTTCTTTTCTGAGCACCGGACTTGTGTTGACCGGACATTTTGAGCGTAACGTTAGCCTACTGAACTTCAAATCAAATGACAACATCATATTTCGATCAGTGGCCAAACCATTTTTGTTTGGGGGGGGGGGGGGGGGGGGGGGTCTTGACCACTATTTCAAGGACAATTAGGAAGAAAACGAATAAAAAGCTTTTATGTAACTCAAATATTAGATTTTTTTTCAACAAATATGCCTTTTTTTTTTTTTTACAATTATTCCATCATTTAATGAGGGCCCAGTTCTGGGCCCCCCTCCCTACCCTGGGCCCCCCTCCCTACCCTGGGCCCGGGACAACAGACCCGTTTGTCCCCCCCTGTCGGCGGGCCTGGATGCAACAGCTAAAGCTAAACCCGTGAAGGTGCAGCTTCTGTCCGTGAGGAGTCTGTGTTTCAGTCATACAGTGACATCTGGTGGATGCCTGAGGTATTTCAACCTCCAAAAACGAACATCACAGTTCCCAGACAACCACGTTTGTCATGGCATGAAACTTCAAGTTTAATATGTTCTGAAGGCTCACATATACCACATAATCACATAGCATTACAAATAAGTTGGGTATAATATCAAAATATTTCTTATGAATTTCTCTGTATGGCCTACATAATGAAAGATAAAAGCCTGAAGGGTTTTGCTTAGTGTAGCTTCTGAAGGAGACGTTGAGGCTCTCCACACCATAACTATAATGATAATTGCTCAGAGGAACCGTATTGTTGGAACCACTTTAAAGGAATCTTTTTTTTTTCTGAAAACATGAATGGTAAAAACAGAGCTTGAGCGTTTAAAGCGGCAGATGATAAAAAAAAAAAAACCTGCAGTGTGTTTAAAATAACCAGCACAATATCATGCTTTGTTTCATTCTATTATATGGTATAGTCATTGCTGTAGCCTTAAGGTTTGAATCCTCCATTTCCTCTGTTTTATCTTAAACATCTCACAGTAAGGACAATGATCATCACACTTTAAGAGTACAACGAATAAAACAGACATGACAAGGACTTTGCTTTTTATCACGTAAAAAAAAAATAAAATAGTCCGACCAATATAACTCAATACTGTGGCATGCGGAGATGCATCCAGTTTAACCGTCAGTATTTCATAATGCAGATCTGAGTGTCAAATGACGAATCCATGATTCAGTTGTACTTCTGTAAACAGGACCCATCTGGATATATGAAGTGATCCTCGATTGGAAAGTGAAGCTCAGACAGGAGTTTGAATCAGCTCAAGTGTTGGAGAGAGCAGTGACAGATGTGTTGTGCAGCGCGGCCGAGCTCAGCAGGAGAGACGAGGAGATGGTGGCCTGTAGCGGTCGCACTGTCAGAGAAACACACCGCTTATTTCCTTCATAAACTCAATCATTTTAATTATCATGGCTACAACCTGGGGCTTAAAAGACAAGTAATATTATCAATTCAAAGGTGCATTATGAAACCTTTTTTGTTTAAAATTAACAATTTAAATGAGTCATCAATCCTTCTTCCAAAACAATCTCTTTTTTTAGTCATGAGAAAGTCGCGCAGAGCCGAAGTATAACCAAAAATCAATGCAGTCTTGTTGTACCTTTAACTGCACTGACACTATTGGATGAGAACAAAACGTGTGAACTGAATTGAGCTGGATAAATGTCTGAATGAACTTTGCAATATTAACATGTTTATTGAACTGAATTAAACCTAACATTGACTTGAGGTGAATAATACTATTGTCTTCTGTAGAGATGCTTTACAGCTTAAATTGAGTTTCATAATTGATTAATTTTACAACATTGTTATTTACAACTTTTCTATTCTTTTTATTCATGTAAAGCTGCTTTGAAATGATCTGTATTGTATAAAGAGCTAGATAAATAAACGTGACTTGACGAGCAACAATAAGGTGATCCTGCATAAATGATTAGCTGTGGTTTGTGGGGACTGTCGGACCTGTGCTGCTGTGTTCTGCCGGAAGGTTCTGATTGGTCAGGCTCTCCTCACAGCTTTGCACTCGCTGAAACGACTCAAAGTTCACAGACGCATCATCTTCTGAAAGGCCATGTGCCACCTGTCCGTCCCCAGGCCGACAAACCTCGAAACGCACCCACTGATAACTGAAACAGGGAGGCAAACAGATACTCCATATTTTGCACAGTATGTCATTAATAAATACCTTTTTATGGCCTAAAAAGTTTTGTTGTGGCTTCTTAGGGCGTTTTCACACCTGATAGTCCGCACCAAGGTCCGAACCAAAGTTCACGTTTTGATACATTTTATACTTTCAGAAAGTTTTGGTTTGGTTTCACACTGCAATTATGTGAGCGCAGTAAAGAACTTTACGTGACATACTTGTGTCCTGTCGTCATCATCTGTGTGGGCTGCATCTTGACATCGATTGGTTTTGTAAATGGACGTGCGTCTGACGTCAGTGTGTTGTGGTCAGCGACGCATATGGTTGCAACTATATTGTAATTTTTATGGCATAATTACCTGCAGCACCAACTATACACAAGGCTAGTTCAAATTCGCGAAAATGAACGTCCTCGTCGTGCGAACATTTTATCGTCGCCGGCAGGAAAGGAGGAGAAGACTGCAAGCAATCATGCGAGCTCTGGCACCTCCATTTGGGGGGAGACCAATGTGAAAGTCCGGACCAAACCAGGTAGGTGTGAAAGGGCCCATAGACATTTTCAAAGCTAGCAATAAAACTAATCTGATCACATTATTTTGTTAAACCCGAATGTCACTCACTTGCTGCACTTGCGAGCCCCGGGACAGCTCTGGATCAGGTTCTGAATGGTGGGGTGAGAGAAACCAAAAAAGTCTGCTCCAGACGGGACAACGTTGATCAGGGGTTTGGCACTAGATAAAAAAAAAGAAGAAGAAAAAAAAATCATGATCATTTTGGGAACATATTCTGTGTAGTACAAAGAGTAAACCGGTTATAGGCTGAATCAAACACATTTCTGGGTCACAAGGTGGATAAACCTAAATGCAAGATCATTACGATTTAATTTTTTTAAAATGTTTTTATTCATTTTATAAAGATTTTATACACACATTACCGTTCAATAGTTTGGGATTGGTACGATATTTAAAATATTTTTGAAAGAAGTCTCTTCTGCTCACAAAGGCTGCATTTATTTGATCAAAAACACAGTAAAAATGATTTACAATATTACAGTTTTAACTATTTAAAATAACTATGTGAATATATTGTAATATGTAATTTATTCCTGTGATGCAAAGCTGAATTTTCAGCATCATTACTCCAGTCTTCAGTGTCACATGATCCTTCAGAAATCATTCTAATATGATGATTTGATGCTCAAGAAACATTTCTGATTGTTATCAATGTTGAAAACTATGGAAGCTTGTTTCCGCCACTTAAAAAAAAAAAAAAAAAAATGTTGCGCCTTTTTATCTCACAATTGCGAGATATGAAGTCAGAATTGTGAGAAATAGTCGCAATTGAGCAATTCTGTTTTTATAACACATAATTGCGAGTTTATATCTCGAAATTCTGACATCTTTTCTGACATCAAGTTATCAGGCCAATTCTAAGAAAAAAAAAGTAACTTTTTCCCCCTCAGAATAGTTTATATCTCACAATTCTGACTTTATATCTTGCAATTGTGAGAAAGAAAGTCAGAATTGTGAGATAAAAAGTCGCAATTACCTTTTTTATTTTTCATTTTGTGGCGGAAACAAGCTTCCATAGAAAACAGCTGTGCTGCTTAATATTTTTATGGAAATATTTTTCAGGATTCGTTGATGAATAGAAAGCTTAAAAGAGAAGAATTTATTTGAAATATAAATCTTTTGTAACATTATAATGCCTTTTTTTAACAGCAGTATATAACAATGATATATAAATATATTTTACAATTTAATTATCTTTTTTTTTTTTTTTGCATTACAGTACTGATGTTGGGGGACAAAGTGCTTTAACGTGATGAAAATATAAAAGATTTACACTGATAAATGCTGGTTTGCAATATGCAGACTAATTTAATCCCCTTCAGCAATGAGTACGAGCTCCAGATAAAGCTGATAGACATGCTGAAGACTTCACCTGCGGGCGGCGATGGCTTTGAGCAGGTTTGTGTGGCAGGAGAGCGCAGATGAAGCAACGATTGCATTCTGTGGGTCATCCTCTGGTGCGATCTCAAACTAAATATTACAAGAGTAAATGACAAGAATGTTCAGTAAAATCATCAAGGACAGGTCAACTGTGCAGAAGCATGCATGTGCACACGTGAGCACCTGTGGACCCTGGCCACCATCTTTGATCTGGCAGGTATAGAGACACTTCTGATCAGAGTTCTTCATGCTGGCGAAAACTCTGGTACTGCAGAAGCCCACAGGATAGAGAGCAGTGTCGTCGTGAAACAGAGCCCTGTCTGTGATGATCTGCCATGAAAACACAAACATATGAGCTCAGGAAGGAAAGATACAATACAAGCACATTTAAAAACAACCAAGGCTGACCAAAGTGCTGTATAGAACAGAAAAAAAAACAATAAAGGAACACACAACAATAGATAAACAATAATCGTACCTAAATCAAGGAGTATTAAAAGCCAAAGAGAATAAATAGGTCTTTAAACAAGATTTGAAGGTGGAAACAGAGGGAGCTAATCTGACGTCGAGAGGAAGACTGTAGGCCTGCAGTCGCTAAAGCACGATCACCTGGGAGCATGGGAGCACTTCGACTCGGTGTAGTAACATCATCACTCGTGAAAAGTCATCTCCCCCTCTCCCTCTCCGGAGTGATGATATTACTGCGCCGAGTCCATAGATATATATGCGCCGAGTCGAAGTGCTCCCAAGCACTTGCTGTGGTATTCCACCATTCATTATAGTTATCCACTTTACACGCTTAGAAAAGCACAACGTTTTATTTCGCGTCACCATTCTTGGTCGAGTTACACTACTCGTGTAACTGTATTTAAATAGGGAAAACGTGGAGGTGTTTGGTCGCTTCTCTGCTTGGATCCTAATGAATGAACTGGGCTAAGCTAAGTGCTAACAAAGTTTCGCCGCAAGAGAGCGATTTAGACGAGAGAGGTATGTATTAGGGATCGACCGATATGGATTTTTTAGTGCCGATACCGATACCGATTTTTTTCCCATCAGCCTTAGCCGATGACCGATACGGGCTGCCGATTTTCTTGAGCCGATATTTGGAGCCGATACATTTTGCTCCCTCAATTTACATCATGTCATTGTCAAAAATGACATGATGTTAACAAATGTTACAGGTCTCAATTTAATAAAAGTAACATTTATTTAACGTAAAAAAACAATATTTAACAAATAGTAAAAACATGTGAGGTAGAACAAGAACAAGTAGATAAACTATATTTAACACATATTAAAAACATGAGGTAGAACAAAAAAAAAAGTTCACTGCTGAAAATAAATATTTAAGCATAAATAAAATAATTACATTATTGCACACAGTAGCAACCAGCATAATAAAGTGCACAGTGCACACTGTACTTCATTTTAAAAGTAACAAACTATTTACTGCCATGGTTTAAATTTTTCTACATAAAATAAAATGAGCATGTCTAGTCTCTAATATCACTGCGATGGCGAGGGAGACACACACCACACGCGTCCAAACCTCAGCCAGGTGGTCGCTGAATAAATCTTCCACAAAAAGCACGGAACAACGTTGGTATTACTTAATCCTATGACCAGTGTTCGTAACAGCTACCGTACGCATACTAGGGCTGTCAAAATTGCTCAAATGGCGTTTGTATATTCCCTTCAAAAAAACATATTTGAACATATCGTCGTGCATTTGGTCAATGACGCGCATTACGTCAATAACAGGACAAATTAATACAAAGAGACATAACTACTAGTATTAAGTAGCTTATTTGAGTTGAAACATATTTGACAACGTATTACTACAAAAAAAAAACGAGTAAATCAAATGGCCAAGACCGCAGAGCTCACTCTGGCTCGCCCGGACTCGCAGGCGCTCTCTCTCTCTCTCTCTCTCTCTCTCTCTCTCTCTCTCTCTCTCTCTCTCTCTCTCTCTCGCACTCACCCTCACGCTCTCCGCGCATACCGGTTTAAATGAAGAACAACAAACAAATGTTGAGTGCTGATCAAGAGTTTTGTGCAAGCAATTTAAGGTATATAGCAGGCTTCATTCAGTGATTGAAACAAATACATTAATTGAAGTTTCACAGTACATAGAACCGACACTGAGCGCTCCGAGCGAGCTGTGCTGTGGTAACGTTAGTCTGCTACCGCGGGCGTGTTTTTCCACATTCGAATATTAATTTTCACCTTCAAAATTCAGTTTTTTTTAAACTAGTCAAATATATATTCGTATTTAGAATATTCATTGACAGCCCTAATGCATACTGAACGGATAGCCTACAGCTATTTGCAGCTCCCTAAATACAATGGCAAGCAAGCAGTTTTATAGACGAGTCATTCGCGTTTTCCATTTGGACCCACAAACTTGCTTAGCTACATAGTTGCAACCACATAACAGTTATAGAGCAACGTGTTTCCATTTTCAAAGTGTTTGACAATATTTCAGCAGTCAAACAGTTAAAAGATGCTTTGAAAGTTTAAAAGTTACCGTTATCTTGAAGCGCAGGTTGCACTCTGCTAGTGGGGGAGGGACAGTGCAGGGTCTGCACGTGAACTGCAGCGTCTCCAGCAGCACAGAGCTGCCTGTGGACGCCTGTCTATAAATAATGCCGGGAAAAAACTAACGGCGAACGCAGCAGCCGCGCATCGGCCGATTCCGATACACGTAAAAAACGCAAATATCGGCCCGATATATCGGACGGCCGATATATCGGTCGATCACTAGTATGTATCAACTCGTCTTAGTTAAGGGAATAACAGTTTAATATGAAAAGAACGGTGGAGTATCCCTTTAACTACTGCTACTTCTTACTGCCAAGAAAACAATATTTATGAACTCATTATATCACACGTGTCAAACTCTGCTCTTAAAGAGCCACTGCCACTGTTTATTCAGCATTGTATTGTCTTCCGTTTCTGTTGTGGTTCAGTGACGCCGCTGACGTAAGACGTAACACTGCGGACTTGTGAACGCGGATCCACAACAGAACCGGAAGACAATACAATGCTGAATAAAGTCGTAGTTTTTGTTATTTTTGGACCAAAATGTATTTTCGATGCTTCAACACACTCTAACTAACCCACTGATGTCACATGGACTACTTTGATGATGTCTTTATTTCCTTTCTGGACAAGGACAGTATACGTACATACATTTACAATGGAGGGACAGAAAGCTCTCGGACTAAATCTAAAATATCTTAAACTGTGTTTTGAAGATGAACGGAGGTCTTACGGGCTTGGGACGACATGAGGGAGAGTCATTAATGACATCATTTTCATTTTTGGGTGAACTGACCCTTTAATAACTTATGATCTTTGCAATGGAAGTGAATCAATCAAAAACTAACTTCATTCTAGAGCTGCTGTAAAGCCAAAACAATCTCTGTTACTTTCATTCCCTATTATCACTGTAAAGCTGCTTTGAAACAGTTCATATTGGTAAAAGCGCTAAATAAATGAAGGTGACTTGACTAAAAGAACTGACTTTGACACATTAGGACTGGATGATTGTCTGACCTCTCCTAGACTGTACACGGTCAGTCCACCGAGGACGATGGGAAAGAGTGGTCTCCCGGAAGAGTCCAGCGAGATGGGCTGAACAAGCTTACGCACTCCTCCCTCTGCAACCTTCCTCCTCTTACAAATCCTCTTCATGACTGAAAGTTGAGCAAACAAATGCTAAGTAACTATTAAATCAAAATAAAGACACATAAGAGAGAACACAGCAGCGAGAAACACTCACATTCTTCCCTGCCGGTCTCTCTTCCTCTCTCTTTTCGTTCTTTTTTGGGTTTCTTCAAAAGGCAGTCTTCAGATGCTGAGAGTCCAGGGGTCTGGCTTTGGCTCACAGGTAGAGCAGCGCCCCCTGGTGTGCTGGAGCTCATAGTGACGGGTGTGTGTGTGTGTGTGCTGCAGCTGGGAGTCGGGACGGCCTCTCCTTCAGACAGAGACTGAAACTGCAACAAAGACTTCAGCAGGAATCTGGAGACACAGGATGAGATTAAGTGGACTGTATCTCACTTTTTGGTGTGTGTAGTGTATAATATATGTATATATACACCCAGAGTTAACTCGTTCCCTGTCAACGTTTAAAAAACTAAAATTTCAGGATTATTTGATGAATGGAAAGTTAAAAAGAACATCTTTTATTTGTCATAGAAATCTTTTGTAACATTATAAATGGCTTTACTGTAGCTTTTAATGACTTTTGAATGACTTTATGAAGAGTGTGGGAAAAAAAATATGTTTCAAATACAAACTCAATTGCAATCAAGAATATTTTGTAATGAAGATAAGTGAATGTGGGCGCACCTCCTTTCTTCTTTTGCCCGGACAAACTTCTCTTCCAGGTGAGCAATCTCATCATAAAGTGCTGCGTTTTCCTGTGAGTCAAAGGGCACCAATTCAAGCACGGTTACACCGATAACTAGGCAATTACATTTAAGCTGCCAGTGTCACCAGTGACGTCACTAGTGGGCGTTCCAACGACTAGCTGGATATTTATCTGTTGAAAATGTCAAATGCCGGTCTATCTGGTTTGACCAGACCATTCAGGCTCAGTGTCAGCATGGCGAGTACCACTGTAAGTACACAGAGATCATAAATGAAAGGATAGTTACTGACCACTAAAATAACTTCTACTGACCACTAATCTTCCTGCCAACAGTCTCCACTACAGGATGTAGCTAACTTCACTCCTATTGGATGTCTCTGCCGCAAGTCGCCCCTTAATTTGCATGAAGTTAAACATATTCAACTTGTATCCTGTCGCCAAAGGTCACTCGTGTCATTAAAATGAACGGGATCATGTCACTTTGTCGCTTGCAGTGTGAACAGCTTTAAACTCACTGTGTTATTGGTATAAAAACCTTCACTCACAAATATCATGGAACGGGCAGCCTTGCGCAGACGGATGTACTTCAGTCGGTACTTCTCATTTTGGTTCTTGCGAGGACCTTTCCTGACCTTAGGCCTGGACTCAGTGTGGCTTGTGGGAGAAGGAAGGTGTCCCAGCGACGAACCGGACCCTGAACTGGAGAAGGTCGACTGAGCAGAAAACGCCTGCAACGCATGCTGTCTCTCCTCATCAGTCTGCATATGCGAGTTACAAACAATAAGAGTTTAACAGACAAAAAAAAAATCAGCAGAGCATTTTTATCAGATTGACAGAAGTGTCACATGGGTTATGCCATTAAATTGTTGGGAACTATTTAAAGGTGAAGTGTGTCATCTCAGTGTAACGAACATAGAAGTAAAATTAGATGGATTTTATAAAGAGTATAAACACAGCAGCTCTGTTTGATTTAGAGGGCCAAATGTCAACTGCTGGTTCGACCAATGGCATGTGTGGACAATATTTCCTTTGTCAATAAATTGGCAAACCTATATGTGGCGAGCAGGACGAGGACGAGGGACGTGAGAGAACGGCGCGAGGCCGGTGGCGTGAGTGATAATGAACGCCGGAGTTTATGTTGTGTTGTGTTTTGTTTCTCTTTACTCTTTTGTTGCTCTAGCGGATCTTTTTTTTTGTATTTCTTTTATTTTGTCATTAAAAGTTGTTAAATGTTCGCCAGTTCCCACCTCATTCTTCCCACAACTTTGAACCATATTACACTATAGTATTGCAAAAACCTCAATTCGCCTTTAAAGTAGTAGACCACACAAAATATAAACTGAGATCAACAATTATGTGGTTGTTTAATGTGTTGATGCAGACTCCAAACAACATAAAAATAAGAAAATGATGACTGGACAGTTGCCTGAAAAATGCCACAAAAAATAACAAGCAACAACAAAACAATGTGGAACTTAGTAGGCGTCATGTGTCCTAATGAAAACTATTTCCTAGTTAAAATTAGTGTAACGGCTAACTGACGCGTGCTTATATGGACTTACCAACAGCGCAAAAACTCCATTTCTGCTCTCAATCCTCTTGAAGCGTCTGCTGCCTTTCTGTGTCTGTAACAAACTGTGAAACTAAAGCAAATGCTGAAGACTGACAGCTGACTTTTCATGGAGACTCTCTCTGTGACAGACTGCTCTGACTTTACCCTGTTTCCTAAACCAGTCATTCTAAAACTTTAATCAATGTACAAATGAAAGACAAACAAGTGAAATCATGCACTAAATTAAACACATTGCTGGTACTGAATGGAAAACAAAGTAAATATGGAACATGACTGACAGTGAACAGCGCGAGTGTCATAAATCATGCAGTGCCTCACCTCTCGATACATGACTGCCTCAAGGCTCGACTTTGCACTGTGAATAGAGTAAAAGATACAGCGATTATCTTGACACCTGTGCGTTGTGATGTAAATATTTGAACCGAAGGAATATTTCTGTACTTTGACTGCACCAGTCCACGATCAATGATCCGCTGCTTGATCTCCTTGATGTGCATGGGCCGCCCAGCCTCTTCCAGAACAATCTTAAAAATCAGAAAACTCATTGACTTGATCACATGAAATGTATGTGAAACAGCACGGTTTAAGAGAGATTTTCACCTGAGCAGCATCGAGCCATGTGAGGTTCGGTTTTTCTGCAACCTCACTGGGGGTTTCACTGAAGAAGAGCAGAAGTACAGTATATGACCAGGTAAAGCTTTCACACACATCCACCATAGATCTAGCAGTGTCTAGTAATCTCAGTTATCAGTTTAACTATTATTTATAGTACTGCTATAGTAACAAAATAATACAGCTTCATACTAAAACCCACTGAGACGCACAGCCCTTGTGAAAAAGTGCTTTTAATTTGTATTGAATGTGCACTTGTATGGCCTGTTGCATGACCCTAGCTAAACAAACTCAGAGTTTCAGAGCAGGTTTAGTGGGCTTTGACACTGGGCACGTATTTATAAAAGATACTTCAATGTCCTAATTGAACTAAGACCTAACCTGAGCCCTGTCTGTGAAACCAGGCCATTATGTTTTAATAATGTTTTGTCATGCGATTACTAACTAACAATTGTGATGTGTTGACTAACATACTAGAGCACATTAAGCTCTTTAAATGTAATTTCAAAAAACACTAGCTAAAATTATAATAAATGTTAATATATTACATGTAGTAAATTTCAAGATTACAAATGTGTAATTAATTACAAATATATATAAATACATGACACAAGTTTTAATAGAAATGACAGTGAAGTATATTTTAGTTGATCATAAATGCTTCTCAGTATATTCAGCAGAACACTTTAACCATATTTCAAGACAAAAGAATTATGAAATTACATATAAAGATGTACTTAAGTCCTACTTAAATGGGTTAAAAAAGTCAACTATAATGCATTTTCATTTAATTACAAATAACATGCAATTAAGTGAACGGAAAAATAGGTGTTCTTTAATATTTTTGTATTTTATTTTGCTTGATTGTTATTGTCATATAGAGAATGTATAGGATTTATCCATGTTAAATGTATAAAAAATCTATTCTTTGGTTTTAAGTGACTTAATACTTTAATGCAATGAATATCCTTTTTGTGATTATTTAAGTGTTTTAAATGGATCATTTTTTTGTTTTTGTTTTCCATATAGTGATTATTTTTTTTTTTTTGGGATAAATAAACAATAAAAAAAGTATACAAATACATTACATTCAGTTCACACTTAAGCATATTGCTGGTTTTACCCCGTTTTACCTTTACCCACCTTGCCAGCGTATACATTTATACGATTTTTAAACAAAACAAACCACTTTTATAATTTATTTTCACACAAAATCTGCTGATCCATCAATGTTCAAGTATATATATATATATATTATTTTTTTATTGTATTTTATTTTATTAGGGTGTGCTTTTAGCCCTGTTTTCGGTAAGACAGCATTTTGTGTTTTGGGCAAGATATTATATTACTAACGTTCCCATGTTTTGGGATATGTACTTCAGTAGTGCCATAATTTTAAGAACAACACCATGGTATACAACAGTAAACGTTAACGTTACTTCAACCCTGATCGTGGCACAGCGTATTAAACATTACTGCAGCGTTTTTGTGCAAACGCTGCAGTAAAACTCTAATGTAAAACAGCTGTGTGGCTTCATTGCGTAAGAATGTTAGATGATAAAAACACATTAATTACTGATCCTCCGCCTAAACTCACGCGTCGAGACTCTCGGCGGCTCCAGTCAGGCTGTTCATGCTGTCCAGCGCTGGAAACAGAGAATAACTGCCCTGCCCATCCGCCTCCATCTCTGACTCAAAGTTCAGCGAATCCATCCCTGCCCGATCTGAGCTTTACCTCCAGGTCTGGGGCGAAATAACACACATCATTAGTTGTGCTAACTAGGCTAACAAAACAAAACAACACGATCCAGCCGTGAAGAAATTCAGAATAAATGCCGATGCAAGTTCACCTGTAATCTTACTCGATGTTTATTACAGTACTCATGCTGTGCAGGACATAATAAAAATGCTTCTGATCTTCAATTTGCTGACATGTTTGATTTAGCATTTTTGTTCAGTGCGCATGGGAACCACTGATCGATTAAGTGAACCGTTTATGTTTCCGGGGGGCACATTTAGGGAGCACACATTACATCCGCTTCAATGCCACCTACTGTATATTTTATGATTAAAAATAAATAAATAAATCAAAGAGAGGGAGTGGGTGGTGGAATTTACAGAAACACAAACACATGATGAAATGCAGTTACCCTCAATAACAATTAGAGTTAAGATCTTGGCCTGCTTTTATACATCCTGATGGAGGTTTTTATTAAATGTGCTAATACTGTACACTTTATGTAATTCTTTAAATTGAATGTTTGATTCGTTTATAGACCATGCATTCCTTGTGCTGTTCTGCTAATCTCTTCCGTTTGCCATTAACATTTTACAGTGGGAGGAAATAAATCTGGCCACTTCACAGAAAGGCAGTGGACAAGCTGAGTCGACCATTTCCCTCAGAGAATCTGATCTGTTTCTTGCTCAACACCACTGCGTATGGTATTACGGTGACCGGGAGGGGACATGTTCGGTCCACTTATTTTTGTCGTGGCCACAACATATAAACTCCCCAGATAGCACAAGTCTATTTGATGTGATATTTACATCTGGAAGACGTATTTTTAAGAGTGTTTGCTCATCTGCAAGACGTCTATGACGTTTTCTGTCAGATGTCAAATAGACGTTTAGAAGATGTCTTTAAGATGTAATGATTTAGAATGCATGTTAAACTGACATCTTCTAAACGTCTATTTGACATCTGACAGGAAACGTCCTATAGACATATTGCAGATGAGCAAACACTCTTAAAAATAGGCCTACGTCTTCCAGATGTAAATATCACATCAAATAGACTTGTGCTATCTGGGTCGTGGGAACGTGATAATATCTCGTGGGAACGTCATATTAAGTCGTAGCCACGAGATCATTTTGTTGAGGTAACGACATAATTATGTCGTGGCCACGCGATGCAAAGTCGTAGCCTCGAGATCATATGTTGAGGGAACGATATATTTTTCTCGTGGTTGTGTTATGTTGAGGGAGCCACAGCGGCCAATAACCTACTACTGTAACCGAACCATTGCATAGACTGGGCTACAGCAGAGATGGAGATGACAGAAGAAATAACATTTTACTTTAAATTAGGAATGTCATATACATATATAGTGCGGTCTTTGGCATTAAGACATACGTTATAAGTGAAAGACACCTGAGTTCGATTTTTGCATTTTAGGGACGTCTCAAAATTACATGCGACATTGGCATAAACGTTTCCAACTTCAATAGCATTTTAAGACAATGACTTACAGTCATAAAACCAACTGTACATTGTTCACCTAGGTCTCATGTATGATGCACACCTTTTAGATTTGTTGATATTTATGACAATAAACTGTTAAATCATATGCAAATATTGCTAGTGATTTCCCATCCAATGTGTCCCTGAGCAAGACACTTAACTTTTTGATATTTATGACAATAAACTGCTAATCATATGCAAATATTGCTATGTATTGCACTAGGAATCATATACAGAATATGACAATATTTAAAGCTCAATAGCATTTGAAGACTGTAAGAGCCATTTTGTCTTTATTTAAACCTTATGCAGGTGTGTGTCCAGTAGGGGTCTCTCTTTGGGTAATTGGTTGCTGAATATAGGTAGGAACCTTCCTTCAGGTGACATGTGTTGCTGGAGGGAAGGTGCACACAGTTTTTTGACTGCTAAGCTATGCTACACTGAGCTATGATGTGCCATGCTGTGCAGTAGGAAATCTGCCAGGGTGAAGAAATTGTAACTGTGGATTTATTGACTGTTTGTTGGACTCTTGCTTACATGGAAATGAGGACCAGTCACGGTAAAATAAATCTACAATGTAAGCATATTAAACTTGGTGTGGACATTGCTGTGAATAACAACCCAAGGGAGCGCGTCCATTAACAAGCACCGTCCAGCAGCCATCAGCTGCTTAAAGTAATAGACTTGGCTGCTTACATTTAGTCAAAAAACTGTTTACTCAAAAGGAACTGAGTTTACCTATTTTTGCATTGGAGTTTCATCATCTGTGGAACGAGATTGAGTGGATTGTTGGAGGAACTTTGCATCGATTTCGTTTACAACTGAGATCAGCTGCAGCCACGACAGGAGGACATCGCATATCTGTGGATTATATGTGTGCATCTTTGCTTTTGGGTCAGGGACCATCTACCAGCGCGAGAAAAGACACTGGAGCTGCTCTACAAACGTCAGCAGAGGAGCTGTGTTCATATGGCGCCCAACGTGAAGAGGTATGTTCAGTAGCGCTACTTATTGTTGAATGGCCATTAAACTTTGTGTGCACACAACATGGGGACATAATTCCAATGCATTGGTTGTCAAAGAGTATAAATAACTTTGCGAACTAGATTCATTGTTGCTTCGATCGTGCTTCGCATATTCGGTGGATTATGGAGCCTGCTGAAACTGAGCACAGGTCTATGGAAGCGCTTCAGTTGAACAATGGTGTTTTTACTGATGTTGATGTTCAAATGGACAAACAAAAACGTGTTGTGAAATTAATCTGCTTATCTGGAAAGAGCCTTGTCTTGGCCCTTAATAAAAGGAGAGAATGTCAATGCTTTGCAGTCGTATGCCCTTTTTCTGCGTGGTTGTTGCAACGTCACTGAGGAATTGCAATACCTTCAGGAGTTAGATATGCCAAGCAATATGAGAGCTATTATGTGTAAATTGCCTTTCAAGCTCAGAGAGCGGTGGAGAACTGTCGCACATAGAATTCTGGAAACTACTCAATGTAGAGCTTTGTTCAAAGATCTTGTGGAATTTATTGAAAGACAGGTTGGCATACTAATGGATCCCTTGTTTGGTGATATTAGGGATTTGCCAACTATCCCAAGACCTGTTAATCGACCAAGGCTATCTCCAGAAGGCAGAGTTAAAGGAAACATCTTTGCCACTAACATTGCACCAGTGGAATCTGGTGAAACATCTAAGAATATGAGGACAGAATTGCCACCAAACAATTCTAAACTGATTCCATTATGTGTGTGGTGTGCTAAACATCATGTATTGGAGTACTGTCAACAATTCAAAAGGAAGAAGCAAAGGGAAAAGATGGGCTTTCTAAAGGAGAAAGAGCTTTGCTTTGGTTGCTTAAGTGCTGGCCACATGAGTCGTAATTGTGGCAAGCGGTTGACGTGTAGGATATGTAGTCAGCACCATCCCACTGTGCTTCATGTTGACAGATATACAGCCAATTCAGAGGAGGCGGAGGCATGCAAGTTCTTAGGATCTGCTGAAACATGTGGTCATACAGGGGCCGGAAAAGATCACTGTCTGCTTTCTATCTTACCAGTTCAAGTCAAGGCCAGTAAAGGAGATCAGATAATCCAGACGTATGCATTCCTGGATCCTGGCAGTTCTGCGACTTTTTGTACTGAAAGTCTTATGCAGCGGCTTAATCTTTCTGGTAGAGGAACTCAGTTTCTGTTACAAACTATGGGACAGGAAAGAGTTGTATCGGCATACGCACTCTCAGGTTTGGAAGTGTCTGCTATTGATGGTAACATCTTCTATCAGCTTCCACAAACGCTCACACAGAAACAAATGCCTGTAAGTTCTGACAACATTGTGTCTAAAGGAGATTTGTCTAAGTGGCCTTACCTGGCAAAGGTTAAAGTTCCCAGCATAATGGCTAACGTTGATTTGTTGATTGGAAACAATGCTCCTAAGATGTTAGAGCCTTGGGAAGTCATAAACAGCCGTGGGGATGGCCCTTATGCTATGAGAACGGCATTAGGTTGGGTCATCAATGGTCCTTTGCATGCAGGCAGCTTTGAGGCTGAAGACTGTTCTGCAGTGGTTAACAGGATTTCTGTGTGTAGATTGGAGGAGATGTTGTATAAACAATATAACCATGACTTCAATGAAAGAGCTGCAGAGGAGCAAGGATTATCAAGAGAGGATATTAGGTTTTTGGAGATTGCGGAGAGTTCTGTCAAGCTTCAGGACAATCATTATACCTTGAAGTTGCCATTTAAAAACGAAAATGTGTATCTTCCTAACAATTTCTCTGTGGCAAAACAGCGGATACTCGGATTAAAAAGGAGATTCCAGAGAGATGATCCGTTTTATCAGGAGTATGTATCATTTGTAACTGAAATGATCAAAAAGGGATATGCAGAGCAAGTGCCCACTCATCAGCTTAAAGGTGAGAGCGGCAAGGTGTGGTACATTCCTCACCATGGTGTACGTCATCCCAAGAAGAGGAACTTGCGGGTGGTTTTTGATTGTGGTGCCGCATTTAATGGAACATCTTTGAATCAAGTCCTTTTACAAGGTCCCAATTTCACAAGCACATTGATTTGAGTCCTCTTGAGGTTTAGGCAGGAGTCTGTAGCAGTCATGGGTGACATACAATCAATGTTTCATCAGGTTCGGGTGGCAGAAGAGGACCGGGACTTCATCCGTTTTTTGTGGTGGCAGAACGGAGATTTTACAAAAGAAGTGGCAGTGTTTCGTATGAATGTCCATCTCTTTGGAGCTGTCTCGTCTCCGAGTTGTGCTGCCTTTGCTTTGAGAAGAACAGCAGATGATCATCAATCTGAGTTCCGAGAAGAGGTTGTTCAAACTCTCAAAGAAAACTTCTATGTAGATGATTGCCTTAAGAGTGTGGCATCTGAAGATGAAGCAGTTTGCTTAGTTGAAGATCTTTCCATTCTTTTTCAGGGAGGTGGTTTCATTCTGACAAAATGGAGTAGCAACAAGCGCACTGTCCTGCAAACCATTCCCGAAGAGCACCGAGCCAAAGAGTGGAAGGAGCTTGATCTGGACAGGGACAGCCTGCCAGTTGAGAGAGCCCTTGGATTGCTTTGGTGTGCGGAAACTGACTCATTTAAGTTCAAAATGGAGGTCCAGGAGAAGTCCTGCACAAGACGTGGGATGTTGTCGGTTTCCAGCTCCGTATACGATCCACTTGGGTTTTTGGCACCAGTTGTGCTACCTGCTAAGATCATGCTACAGGAGTTATGTCGGAGGAATTACGGATGGGATGAGACTGTGCCCTACGAC